TGTTAATTTTATATGCTAACACATTATGACGTGTACACACCGTTATCACGTAGGTTACGCGACACCAGGAAACAAATACTTGATCCTAGGTTCAATGTGTTACTTAATAAAGTAAGTCAATAAAATAGCTATTTAAAGTAGTCTTACAATCCATTTAACAAACGCACTATTTTTTATTAATTTGTTTTAGTTACAAGTTAAATGGTAGAGCCATGCAACAGCTATATTATGGTTGTACCACGAATGTGTCGGCCAGACTGGGGAGGGACCACGATCTCAGAAAATACCATCGTAAAAGAGTAACTTAATGTTTCTCTGTTTCGTATGGTCAGTGCAGAGACCTTTTTTATTGGAAATGAGGAATTTCACCTTATCCTCAGAGGTGACATCGCATCTGAATTTTGATTCTTAACCGAGGAAAGATTTAGATGTCTATAGGCCGCAGTATCTTCTTACCATCAAGTGTGCTGTGTGCTCGTTTGTCACCCTTATTCTATAACAACTAATTTTTAAGAAAATAAAAATGTACAATTTATAGCTTATACTTATAAGCAATTATGGTCCAACCAGCCAGCATCAACCTCAAATAATTTAGGATTTCCTTCTCTCGACACTTAAAATTATTTTTTAGCTTTAATTTGTAAACTACGTGAACAATTTGCTTCAACTAACTCTAAAAATCAACTAGCTAGCATGTGTATCAGGAACGACGAGCCGTTGAGTTGAGTTGAGTAAATTCACCGAATCTTACCGCAAGCTTATGGCTCGCCCGTCCAACAAAGTCGTAAAACGGGGGAACGGAAACAGCAGTATAAGGATTCGTTAATTGTGTAGTACCTTGCCGGCCGTATAATCTTTACACCGGTTGTTATGAGCAACCGTGCAGTGTTTTACTGTGTAGTGGCTATGTAAGAATATATTTCATACGTGGTAGAGCCATGCTGCAGCTATATTAGTAGTATAGTCGTAGCACGAATGGGTCGGCTCGACCGGGGAAGGGCCACGCTCTCACAGAACACCAGCGTTAAATGGCATGTGTTTCGTATGGTGAGTGTAGAGAACCGGAGACTCATTTTACTGGAAAAGAGGCATTCCATCTTAGTCCGCACGCGTGACGACGCATCTGCATTTTGATTCTTTATTGAGGATAAATGTAGATGTCTATGGGTCACAGCAACCACTTACCATCAGGTGGACTGTGTGCTCGTTTGTCACCCTCATTCTATAAAAAAAATCCACTACTCCATATCGTCTCGCGGGTGTTGTAAGAGGCGACAGAGGGATATGGAAACTGTTGATGGGCAGCAGCACCCACCTAATAACCACTCCAAATAATAAAAAACTGTGACTGCCATTCCGCCTGCCAAGCGCGGCAACTATGGCAATATCCCCCCCCCCCCCCCCCCCCCTATGAGGCAATCTATGGAGAAGGTCTATGTTCAACAGTGTAGTCATGGTGGTTAATCACAGCGTGTTTTCCTTTTTAAATAACAATGAAAGGACGAACAACTTAACACTAAATGATACAACCAGTTATGAATTGTTATTCTCTGTATAAAATTAAGCTTATTAATTTGATTTCCACCAACTAACAATATTTTTTTATTATGTGTAATATATGTGCTTGTATATTTAAATGTGCGTTGAGGCAATCTATGGGTAGGAACGATGATGATATTGGCACGATATGTTGTGTATATATGATATACATGTTTGCGAGTGTAGTGGCGGTGTAAGAATATCCACTAACCCATAATATACCGCGGGTGTCGTAAGAGACTATATAGGGAAAAATCAGATGGGCAGCAGTTTTCCGCTTGCCAAGCGTGGCAACTATGGCAAATATCGACCCTATGAGGAAATCAATGTGGGAGGCCTATGTTCAGCAGTGGACTTTAATAGGCTGTAACGTTAACATTTTTGCGCGTATAAAATCGCGTACACAGCTGCCTAGTCTAGCCGCTAGTATATTGTCATATAAATAATATATTGTCATATAATAATATTTAACTCAGTTAGAATTTCAAATAATAGATACGTAATATATTGTGTGCTAATTGTAATACTTTTAATTTACCATTGCAAATTTCAATTCTAATTTAAACAATGCATAATGTATAAAAATTACCATCAAAGTTTTTTTTTTCTTTATAGTATTACTCGCCAGTATTAAAAAAGATGTATTTTTAAATGTGGACAAACCGTTCCGTTCACCAGGTGTCACTAGTCGGGTTTGAGGTGAAGTTATTTGTCACAGTGTCACCATTATTGAATGAAATTGTTTATATGCAAAATAATGCCACTGCGGTGTTTTTTTTTTTAATTTTTTGCACATTTATTAACTATATTTTTATATCTTCTGCTTTTATTAATATCCTTAGTTTGGTTTATTCATTGTTAAAGAAACATTAATCTTGACACTTTTATAACAATTTAACATTTCCACCATGAAATCTGTCAAATATTTCAACTTTATCATGGCGCCGCCCTGATGGCAGAAAAAGTTGAGGAAGCCATCATTCATTTCTTTGGTTTTTACAATCAAATACAAGGAATTTTACTGTTTTACCAGTGTTTGCACAGGCCACATTTACAAATATTCTATTTAGAAAGAAAGAAAGATTTATCACGTATTAGGATTTGTTTAAATTTTTTTTCGCCTCTTCGCATCGCATCTTCACCGCCGTTATAGTAGTGCGTTGTGTAACTTAAACCTAAAGAAAATAAAAATCCCATGTCAGTATTTGCGTCACTTGCGATAATACAAAGTTCTAGTAACTTACTATGACCGGTTACACTTTGTTTACCATTCGAAAGTTCATAGCTGCACATGGGCCTCCCGTCACAATTTATGTTACAGTACAATAATAGCATGCAAACCTCTAGGGATTTATCTGCGCTACACATAGAAACTAGAGACACCTTAGACCGTATACCGTCTATCGAAGTCCACGAGGTCGTTCTTGCGTTCCCCATAGGCGATCTATGATGACATCCACGATATGAAATAGTGTGATGGATATTTTGACGCCACTACAATACGACATTTTTTTTAACTACACCTTATTGTATGTTAATTAACGAGGAAGCCGAACTTCCAAACTGTTACATTTTTAATTAATGAACTAAGTCCTCACGCGGCAAACTCACTCACACAAAGAACTTAAGGTCTGACGGAGTGAACCTGCTATTTTAGTTCAAAACTCACGAGACCGCAGTTTTATGTGGATATAATATTCTACACGTGCCACGGTCCCGCTACCTCTGCAGATGCGGGGTCTTGCTCTATGAGTTCCTATTTTTGTTTGTGTGTGTTTTTCCTATGCTTAATCGAGGATAGATGTAATAATAATAATCATCTTTATTTGCAAGAATATGGTTGTACAATGGTGTTTGAGTATAATTCGTTCTACATATTCTACCTTAGTGGTGTGCAAATATTAATGGTCAAGTAACCTAAACAACAACACTTATCGAATTTAACAACATATATTAATTTAACAAAATATAAAATTATTTAAAAATATTTAGTTGATTTGATTATTAATTTATTATGCCACAGTGTCAGAAAATGCCATCAAAATATATAAGTAAGTATTATTATATCAAGTAAGATTATTATTATAGGTCAATGTCTTATTGACATAAGAATAATTAATTATTATTCTTATATCAATAATTATATAATGTTACATATCCAATTGTCATTAATTTCTTTCTATTTTTACATCAAATTTATTAATTAATTAAATACATAAGTCAAATTTTATATAAAATAATATCAAAAACATTATTTTTTTTAAACATTGGAATCTTGTAATTACGTAATTAATCATTTTCTAAAATTATCATTAATTATTACTCGTATGTAGGTCGGTGTTTAATGTCATTTGAAATGTTTTTGAGGGTTTTATATTCAATAAATTTCGTCTTATTTATATTTATATCTAAATTATTTATATTCATCCATTGTATGACCTTATTTAGAGCACCATTAGCTGCGATTTCAAGTGCAGATCTGTTATTATCTTTAACTATTAGAGTAGTGTCATCAGCGAATAAAATGCATTTGCTTGTAGTAAAGTCAGGAAGATCGTTAATGTATATCAAGAACAGCAAAGGTCCCAGTACAGTGCCTTGTGGAACACCAAAACTGTTTGTAAGATATTGGGAGCGTTTTGATATCTTTGTGTTCTTTATGACTTTTGTAACTTCAACACACTGCTTATGATTTTTAAGATAACTCTCTATCCAGTTTTGGGCTGTTCCTCTTATTCCATACCTTTCTAATTTATCTAGTAGAAGACTGTGTGATACGAAGTCAAAAGCTTTGCTCATATCAAGAAATATAGTTAAAAGTGGAGTTCGTGAATTTAAGCTTTCAGTTATAATTTTAATCAGTTCATAACATGCTAATGTTGTGGAACAGTTTCTTCGAAAACCGAATTGTTCTGGTTTTAGAATGTTAAAGGCGCTAAGAAAACAATATAGTTTTTCATGCATTATTTTTTCGAAAACTTTTGAGAGCACAGGAATAAGAGTTATTGGTCGGTAGTTTCCAACGTCTTGCCTATCTCCCTTTTTATTATACATAGGTTTAACAATGGAGAATTTCATACGCGTTGGAAATACACCCTGTTTTAGAGACAGATTTATAACATAATGGTTCTGAGATGTATTCAGCGCATTGTTTCGAAACTTTTACATTTAATTCGTCATAACCTGTTGAATTTGTATTATTTAAAGATTTAAGTGTTTTATAGATGTCCCTAGGATGAGTTGGCGTGAGATACATACTACTGTTATTAAACGAAATATTTTTATAGTTTAAATATTTATTGGTGTTATGTTTGTGTATATGTTAATGAGTCACAGACTCACAGTATCCACTTACCATCAGGTGGACTGTGTTCTCGTTCTTCACCCTTATTCTGTAAAAAAATGCGCGGAATGTCTGTTGTTTGACAAGTAAGCACTGAAATGTTTGTGTTGGTGGGCAGCTGTCGTCGTCGCCGCAGACGGCCCGCTGGGCACACGCGCGGCTGGTGATGCTGTTGGTGGGCATCCTGTGCGCCGCCGCAGCTCTGATGGTGGCCGCCGTGCGCTGGGGACTGCCCGCCGGACGGGACACCTTCGCCTTCATGGCCGCCGAGGTGAGCTGCACACACACACACACACACAAGTGCGCGCGCTTTAATTCCAGTAGAGCCACGCTGTAGCTATATTATGGTTGTGGCACGAATGCATTGTCTCAACCAGGGTAGGGCCACGCTCTCACAGAATATAGCTCATACACACGTCTAGAACGCGTTAGAGCCTAGCTAGCAATATACCCTATTTTAGGTGTATTTAAGTTACTTGAACAGAAAACATTAAATCCATTAGCATTAGGTATATAGCGTAATTAAATTCATTCAAGCAATTAAATTAAAAAATATATATGTATATACTAATCAGCCTAAGTCGTCATCCAATGTGAGTGACGAATTGTAATAAATAAGCTGATGAATCTGCGCTATTGTTAAAAAAAATAACCAAAATTTACTATTATCAATCAATAAATAAAATAACAATGTAATAAGTCATATTATTTCTTCATAATTACTTCAGAGGTCAAAGAATCACATAATATAAGAAATTAAAAAGATTTTTTAGTAAAAAATGCATTAGTCATTCTTATCATATATATCTGCCTTACGATGATGCATTTTTTAATAAAAAATGCATCATCGTAAGGCAGATATATGCCGGATCATTATGGTTTTTGATACATCAATTTAGATATGTATCCATCCATCCATTGTTCCAATATATCAATCAATCAATATATTCTTTATTGTACACCAGTACACATTAAAACGAAACAAAATAAAAATTCCATTTTAGCCTATAAAAATCTGCTGCCGAACATAGGCCTACCCTACAGATTGCCTCTATGGCAAATATCGATAGGGTTGGTAACCGCAGTGTTCTTTTGTCGTTATTAGGAAGACGCTGCTGCCCATGTTCAGATTTGTTCCCCTCTGTCGCCTCTTACGAAAGTACGGTACCCACGGGATGATATGGAGTATTGGGATATTTTTACACCGCCACTACATGGTAGATCAATTTATATGTGTATATCGTTATAACCAGTTTTTATTACACAGTATGCACTGTTTGATGTTCTATGTAACTATTATGCCTTCTGTGACAACAACCTATTTGATAAAATGCTATGTGCAAGTCTCGATATTGCACTTACAAATTAATATGACTTATTTGTGCCTAGGAGTCTGTCTAGGTTGATACCACCTTATGCTTTGAAATAAAAAGCACCCATGGTCACACCGAGGGCGAAGAAAAGTACTATATTAGCCGCCTCATACCGATAAGCGAAGTGTAAGAGCTGTGACCCACTTGATAGAGTGACTATCTGGTCCCTACCAGTTACCTACCATGCATGAAGTTGATGGATTCATGTGACCCAGGGCCGTACTTTGTGGTATTACTTGGGGGAGGCCCGTGCAGCGGGAGCAGTGAACTTGAAAAGGCCTGTAATGATCATAATAATCTTTAAAGCAAAGTAACGCCTGATTCTATTAATTAGTGTACAGCGTTCCCAGTGATGTGCTGGCAGTGAGGGCATCATCCACTTTTTCTGCCACCAGGGCAGCGCAACTTTGGTGTGAGGTGTATTATGAGTATATTTGACAGATTTCATGGCGGGAAAAATAATTTGCTAGAAAAGAGTAGAGATTAATGTTTCTTTCTGAAAATATTGTATATATTTTATATTAATTACATTAGTATGTATGACAGAGTATGATAGAGTGGACAGGAATGTGTTATGGCAAACAATGAACTCATTTGGGTTGAGCGTTGGTTTGATACAGGCATTAAGGTCTCTTTATAGGGACTCTAAGGCTTGTGTCAGGATCAACGGGGTCTACTCGGACTGATTTGGCATTCAAAAAGGTGCCAGACAGGGCTGTGTAGCTTCCCCGTGACTGTTTAACCTATTTATGGACAGTTGTTTGCAAACTTTGAAAGTTGAAGGAGGTGGGTTGAGACTGGGTGAGTTAACCGTCAAATGCCTTTTGTACGCCCATGATCTAGTTATATTTGCATCGTCGGTGGCCGAGTTGCAAATGATGGTTAATTTAATGAACTGGTCATTGAAAGAAAGGGGTATGAAAGTGAACGCAAGTACTACACGCTCTACGGGCTCTACACGCTATTATGAGGAGTCAGAATGTGTCAAATAAGGCACGTATGGCAATTCATTCATAATGCTGTGAGAAGCATAAGAGTAGAATAAATGCTGTAGTATGCAAGGGTGAATCTGTGTGACAGTGTGAGAAATAGTGTGATAAGAGAAAAGTGTGGTTTGCAAGATGACGTTGTGACCAGGATTAAGAAAAGAATGCTTCGGTGGTTTGGTCATGTAGAAAGAATGAACGAGGAAAGAGTGACAAAGCAAATTTATGTTGCAGAAGTGAACGGCGCGCGCGCGCGCGCGTATGTGTGTGTGTGTGTGTGTGCGTTAGTGCGTGCGTGCTTGCGTGCGTGCGTGTGTGCGCGTGCACGCGTGCACGCGTGTGAATATGTGTGTGTGTTTGTGTGTGTGTGTGTGTGTGTGTGTGTGTGTGTGTGTGTGTGTGTGTGTGTGTGCGTGCGTGCGTTCGTGCGAGTGCGCGTGCGTGCGTGCGTGCGTGCGTGCGTGCGTGCGTGTGTGCGCGTGCTCGCGAGTGCGTGTGCGCGCGTGTGTGTGTGTGTTTGATTAGATTAGAAATGGATAAACCAAACTACGGATATGCGTGAGTGTCGTGGAACACTCGGTTGGAACGAAGTTCCTTTCGTTACGTAGTACTATTATTTATTATGTGCTTTCGGAGTGTATTATTATTTATTAACAAATCAAATAAATGGATTATGTACTAGTGTCTATTAAAATGGAGCGTCATTTAAAATAAAATAATATTTCTTTAATGGCAAGATAAGAAAAAAGTGTGACATACGTCAGAAGGGGTGTGACGGAAAAATCTTACACTTTTTCTCGCCTAGCCCCCATCCGCCAAATTCGTACCGTCCGATAAGGCACTTCGTTCTAAAATCACTTCAGTCTCAACTAGCGATATCTGTGATAATTAGCCCTCATTGTTGTGTGTGTGTGTGTGTGTGCGCAGTGCGCGCTGGTGTGCGTGCCGACGCTGCACGTGGTGGCGCGCTCCGTGCTGCGCGCACGCGACGCCGACGCCGCGGGCCCCGCCGCCTACTACACGCACCTTGTCTTCGACGTGAGTACCTCACCTCACCTTCTTACCACACTACACACCTCACCACACCTCACCTCTCAACTCACCACACAACGCCACATCACACCACACACCTCACTTCGCATACTCTTATCTTTATAAGTATTTGACTCTACCAAGTCAAATACTTCTATGTACACTACTAGACCGACAATTCAAAACAAAACCTGTGCCAATTTCATCACACCATATACCTTAGCTTGCATACAGTCTGGCAACTTTAGCAATGGAAGGTAACTTTGCCGTCAGGGCTGTACTGGTACAAAATTACGATTAACATGGAAAACGTAACGTTTTTCGAGATATGGCATTTTTTGGATGAAAATACAATAACTAATTTAATATTACTTTCGATATGGCAACAGAGGAGTTAATTTTGGCATTTTATTTTAACGCGGAATTGTGCCGTAACAGCCCATTACACCGATTTTACCAAACGAGTCGTCAATCAAATCATCTTTATCAATAATGAAAGGAAAGAAAAGAGAAATATATATTATTTTTACTGCGTTGTTAGGCATTAATAATGTTATTACTATTCAGTATGTTTCATAATTTCAACTTAGTGCACAAAACATTAATTTTCATTTTTAATGATTATTAATGTTTTGCTATTGTGAGAAAACAATATTTAGATAGATTACAATAATTATGACCTGACATCATTTTGTTACGACCCGTAATAAAATGGTGGTGATGACTAATAAAACAACGAATACTTGTTAAAAATTATTGTGACAAGCTGTTCCCCACGACTTCCCGCAACGCCCGCGTGTAATTTAGGTTTTTAATTTTTTCCCAAAAAGTAACCCTAATTCTTTTTCTTAAATAAAAGTAACCTAAGTTACTCCTTATAACATCAGCTGTTTGCCAGTGAAAGTCCCATCAAAATCATTCCAGCCGTTTCTGAGATTAGCCGGAACAAACAGACAGATAGACAAAAATTTTAAAAATTGTGTTTATGTTCTATGTACCGTATATACTCTCATATGCATTTAGTGAAAAGCTGTTATTTTGACTTTACAGACACCCCAATTTTATTTATTTGTATAGATAATTGATTTGAGCTCAATTATTGCACCAATTTAATTTTTAATGTTAAACGAGAGTATTTTTGTTCTATATAATATTTTAGATTTTTGCTTAAGAAATTATTGTGACAAGATTTAAATAAAAAAATTAAGTTGAGTACGTAATCAAGGATTGTTGACAACCCTGACACATATTTTCAAGTTTGTATGAAAATTTGGAGGGCAACTTTGCCATAAGAGTAAACTTTGCTATTTACAACACAATTAAAGGAGCAAGTCATAACTCTGAGTGTTGTGTATTTAATTATGAGGTAAACTTCAACCTTGAAGTCATATCTTATTATTTTCTTTATAAACCCAAAGTTGCCACAAAGTGGGGTTAACTTTGCTATTTTATAGTTTTGAGTGTTTTGTCTATTAATGTTAGTATTTATTTAAATCACTAACAAATACCAAATCTATGAAGAATATAATATCACATTTAACATTGACGCCCACTCTGACAGTACATTTTTTGTTGGAAAATTGGTCCTAAACTTTTCCAAAAATGGCAAAGTTACCAGATTTCACGGTACTCTTACCTTTATATGTGGTAGGGCCAAACACTTCTATGTACACTACTAAAGCGGCTATTCAGAACAACAACTGTGTCACAGCTGTGGATTGTGCGGGCGAGTAGCTGGCACGGTAAACATGCCACGCACTTGTATTTTCATTTACGACAATTACTGTTTTTAGGTAAATACACATTTATCTAAAATAAATTTCATATTACGTTGGCAAAGTGGTCACATTAATAATGTCAGCGTTTTTTTAGTCACATTAAACAAAATCAGTATTACGATGGTCGAAAATAATGTTCGCGGTTTACGAAACAAAGAACTAGTCGACTAAAACGTTACTTTGATTTGACTGTAACTTAGTGTGCATTGTTTTAACTAGGTTGATCAATAAGTTTCGGAATAGGACACTTACAAATGAGTTATAGAAATGCGTTCCATTTTTTCCAAATCTTAAATTCGTTAGTAGCCAAGGAAAGAAAAAAAAACTATATTCAATAATTTTTTCGAACTTCACATTTGGCGACAATTTGATGCATGCATACAAAATGGAGAAACTCGAACTTCGTACGGTTATCAAATATTTTTGCCTGAAAAAAAAAACTACTAAAAGTGTTTTTGAAGAACTACAGTCTAGTTAGGCAGACAGGCTCCGTCTTATTCTACAGTGGCATACTGGTGAGCTGGATTTAAACGTGTCAGAACCGCCTGCCATGACGACACTCGCTCCGGGCAGCCAACAACGGCTTATAGGCAGTGTATCGTTAAAAATGGAAGAAATTGTTAAGGTAGATCGACATGTGACCATCCGATATTTTGCTAAGATTTTAAAGCTTTCGTTTGGGGCAATTCAGTTTATTTTAACTCATACCTTAAAATTCAAAATTGTGACAACGGCGTCTGTTAACATTCGAGGAACGCAGCGGTTCCTCAAATGTTAACAGACGCCCAAAAAAAAAGTAATAATTGACATTTCAAAGATAAATTTAGCAATAATTGAAGAAGATACAAATTTTTTTGCGCTCGTTTCGTAATTGTAGATGAAACGTGGGTACACCATTTTGACCCGGAGAGGAAAACCAAAGCAAGTTGTGGAAAAAACCATCTTCCTAGAGTCCTTAAAAGAGATTCAACGTGTCTGCGTCCACTAGAAAATTAATGACCTCTGTCTCTCTGTATTATGCAGACGGTATAATAACGATCGATTATTGACAATAACCGGAGATCATTACGCATCATTAATCAAAAAACTACGCGAGATCTAAAGAATAAACCTCGAGGGAAATTGCGTATTGTAATGCTTTAACATCATGATTATAGCCCTGCACATTGATCTGACGTTGTAGGCGCTGCCATCCGAACTGCTGATGCAGCACCCACTATATTCTTCGGACCTAGTGATTTTGACCTTTTTGCTCACCTGAAAAATAAAAAGCTATTGCGTAGTATAAAATTCGACGGTGGCGATGAAGTGACGTGTGCTGTAAATGCCTTTTTAAAATCCCAAGATTTTAAGATCAAGCCCTTTTTCCAAAGAAATTAACCAACTTGCAAAACGCTATTCAAAGTGTATTATCGTAGAAGGCGATTACGTTGAAAAATAAATACAATTTACATATAATTATCCTAGAGTTACAATGCGTTTCAAAAAACTTATTGATCAACCTAGTAGTACCGTAATGCGCGTCTGTAAAAGAAGTAGTATACATAGAAGTCTGGGTAGAACCATCCTGCAGCTGTACCACCTGTGCCACGACTATGCTCTCACAGAATAGTAGCGTGAAATAGCAGCTTAATGCTGATGGACCTTGTTTGCTGGTGTTTTGTATGGTGTTTTGTATGGTGAGTGTAGAAAACCGAGGACCCTTTTTACTAGATATAATACTCGTATTACACCCACCTTATGAAATTACGAATAAATTATATTTTATACTACACTGCAATCGATGTCTATTACTGAGATACTTACGTAAAGTCAGTTTGCGACACGTGTTATTCACTGTGTTATACCCGATTTATAGTCACATTCATAGTCACATCAATCATCATAAACTTCACACTGCATGAAATTAAATTATCATTTGAGATACTGTTATTCTACGCAATAAGATACTTTGCCTTCAATAAGTTATGTATGTATCAACAAAAAATTAAAAATACTTTACTACATATTGCGTAGGACTTTAGGAAATTATCGGATGGCTTACGATTTGGAACTGTTAGGTTATTTAGCATGTTTTTACATCCTCTGTATTCAAAAATGAGGACTGAAATAATAAGGTTGAGCTTTTTCTCAAGCAGGCGTAATCATCGTGGACTTTTGATGGTGGTTTTTGGAGATTAGTTTAAGTAGTTAATTATCTGTTCTATTCTGTATATCTGGTTATCTACTTGCAATAAGATTGGACAACACGTAAGGAGGAGAGAAGGAATTTGAATCCTAAATACGTCGACTGGTCACTATGCTTCGCTTGGTGCTTATGGGAGTAAAAGAAATATGACCCGCTTCCGCTTTTAATGCCATGATATGTTTTCATAGATTCAATACAATCAGATAAATCGATCTTGAGGTTGCATTCGCGTTTTTAACACTTACGGTGCATGTTGTCAGATAGTCTACGTTCAGAGCAAATATTAAATGAAATGGGAGCTAAAATGCTACCTTGTGGTAAACCAATCTATTTTGTACGCTAGCTAATTTTCTCACCGAGACACAAGTTGATACGTGGTTTGTAACAAAAAATCAGGGAATGTACAGCTAAAGAACATCACAACATGACGGGAATTTCTATTTGGTTCGCAACTATCAACTTTTCATAATAAAAAACAGGTTACGAGTTACGAGTTCCCAAGCGACTAATTATTTCTAAAAGCAGATGTGAATATTTGCGTCAATAATTATCGGCGTGTTTACTGTTTGAAAGTTTCTTTAAGTTTAATGGTTGGAAATTATACAACATTAATTGCAGTCAGGTATTGCACCGGCAATATCACCTCAACCATAAGATTTATGTGATCGCTGATGTACTTTAGTACATCACTGAATTTTCAGTTAAAATGCTTGACTTCTGCCTACCTCTGAGTGCTTTCACTTCCACTCCGCTTTATAATTCCCAGTTGATGCTACATTTGCATACGGGGTCCGCATTCAATGAGAATATGCAGAGATATTTCTTTCGCTAATAAACAGATAAATCAGTGAGTTGGTTAATCACATCCTACCAAAATTTGTTATTAAATAATATTGTTTTAATAATATTAGGTTATACTGTTCCACTAAGCTTCAAAAGTTTTCTCAATTCTACATGATCGTGTCCGATTTATGGTTTGAATTTTCTTCTTTTTTTGAGCTTTATTCCCTTTTGTGTAAGTCGAGCTCTTATCTTAAACTACGCCTAGGATAACCACGCCGTGAGGGGCTTATATAGTAGTAGAAGTTTTAGGTCATATGTCATCTGAAATATGGCAGAATTATCCGGTCCGGTAAATAATAATAAAACAATGAATTCTTGACGTTTTGAGTTTTTTTTAAAAGTTTGAGTTAGTTAAAAATTAATTTTATATTTTGAGAATATGTAAAGTCCGCAAACACGCATCGAATAGAGTGACGGACTCTCCCCTGCTCCAAAACTTCAGAAAAATGTAGCCTTCCTTCATTTCTTACTGCTGCCCAAAGTACAATAAAGACAACAGTAGTAGAGCGTATATTATGGTTGTAGCACAAAGGCTTAAACTGGCTCGACTGGGAAATGACCCCGCTATCACAGAATATCAGCGTAAAATAGTAGCTGCTGCTGTTTCGTATGAAGAGTGTAGAGAACTGGAGACCCTTTAACTGGAAAAGAGGCATCCCATGTTAGTCCTCAGGGTTGGTAACGCATCTGCAGTTTGATTCTTAATTGAGGATAAATGTAAATGTCTATAGGCCTTTTTTTCATGGGGAAATGTTTACGCTTACCCGCCTCGCGGAATTAAGGTTATTTCGGACTCGCATCGACTAAAACCCGATGGTGTTCCACCTTTGACGCATATTGGCTTGGCTAGGGGAACACTTTCGCACACATCCACGGCCCCACCAGCGCCGGCCGCTCCTCGGAGGAGAACTTCTCATTTTCCACCTAAGTGGGTTCCTCTTTGTTCCTCTATGAACCTATCATGCCACAGCCGCCACTTACTATCAGGTGTCCGTGTGCTCGTTTGTCACCATTATTCTATATAAAAAGTAGGTTGAAGTTATTGTGGGCAACGGTGTTTGCAGTCGGTGGCGCTGGTGACGGAGCTGGCGCACGTGGCACACATGGTGGTGCACAGCAACGCGCTGGTGTCGATGGCGTCGCTCGTGCTGCTCATGCAGCTACGGCACCTGCTGCACGCGCTGCTCGCGCGCCTGCGCCGCCATCGCCTCTACACCGCGCTCGCCGACCACATGAGCCGCAAGTGAGTCCCGCACACCGCACGTTCAGTACACACGCACACCGCACGTACAGTACACACGCACATCGCACGTTCAGTACACACGCACACCGCACGTACAGTACACACGCACACCGCACGTTCAGTACACATACGCACCGCACGTACAGTACACACGCTCACCGCACCGCCTCTATACCGCGCTCGCCGACCACATGACCCGCAAGTGAGTCCCGCACACCGCACGTTCAGTACACATACGCACCGCACGTACAGTACACACGCTCACCGCACGTTCAGTACGCACGCACACCGCACGTACAGTACACACGCACATCGCACGTATAGAACACACGCTCACCGCACGTTCAGTACACACGCACACCGCACGTACAGTACACACGCACACCGCACGTACAGTACACACGCTCACCGCACGTTCAGTACACACGCACACCGCACGTACAGTACACACGCTCACCGCACGTTCAGTACACACGCACACCGCACGTACAGTACACACGCTCACCGCACGTTCAGTACACACGCACACCGCACGTTCAGTACACACGCACACTGCACGTACAGTACACACGCGCACCGCACGTACAGCACACACACGCCCCGCACGTATAGTACACACACGCACTCACGCATAGTAAAGGAAAATAATTAAATTATTATAAGTAGTATTGTGACATCCTTGCAGTATAGCTTGGAGTCAACAGTTAATTCTAGAAGAAAAGCTAATAGATTAGATAACTGCATCTCAAATGATAATTTTATTTGACGGAGAAAGAACTGAACTATTACTGAACAATTTATAAACCTAGCTAAATTAGCAAGGTTTATAAATTGTTCAGTATGCAATATATGTATAGCAGTGACGAAACTAGGGCACCAAACTAGGGCAAGCCCAAGATATGGTTTTGTTGTTTTTAGCAGTTTTATAAAAATACACCAGTCTTGATCTGTCTCCACTAAGTAATAATAATTATATATTAATAAGTAATAATTGACCACTAAGTCCCTGAATTCTTCTCCTGCCGTCGCTGAATCATTACTTAAACAAAATGTAAATGCGTGTACAAAGAATTATACATTTCATAAAGTATCATCAAAAGATATTGTAAAATATTTTAAAACTATTGATGTTAAGAAAACTGCGGATCTGTGGGGGATTTCCGTTAAAGTTATTGCGTCTATAATAGATACAATCGCGCCTCATTTAGCTATTATTTTTAATACTAGTATCGAATCTGGTGTGTTTCCTGATTTAATGAAGTATAGTAAAGTAATACCTTTATTTTAATATGGTAGTACATTAGACCCCGCCAATTTTAGACCTATTTCTGTACTACCAACACTTACTAAAGTTTTTGAAAAAATTGTTCTTGATCAAATGTTAATTTTTTTTAATATAAATAATTTACTTCATAAAAATCAATTTGGTTTCACAAGGGGTCGCTCGACAACTGATGCCGGTGTTGAGCTGATTAAATATATCTTTAATGCATGGGAGAATTCACAGGATGCTTTGGGTATATTTTGTGACCTATCTAAGGCCTTCGATTGTGTTCACCATGAAACATTAATCAGGAAACTTCAACACTACGATGTAAGAAGTAATGCTCTTAAATTAATTATTTCATATTTAAGTAAGAGAAAGCAAAAAGTCATTAACAGTATGAGCTCTTCCGGGTCGATGGTACAAATGGGCGTGCCTCAAGGCTCAATTCTCGGCCTCTTTCTGTTTCTTGTATACATTAATGACTTACCTTACATGGTAGGAGATAACCATGATATAGTATTATTTGCAGATGACACTTCTTTAATTTTCAAATTAAGTCGACAATTACTAAAATATGACGAAGTAAATAATGCTATATCTAAATTAGTAAATTGTTTCAATGTTAATAATTTGCATTTAAATGGCGCTAAAACGAAATGTATGAAATTCATGACTCCAAATGTCAAACAATTAAATACTAATGTAATTTTAAATGGGGAGAAAGTGAGTCTTGTAGATACCACCATTTTTCTTGGAATCACACTAGACGTGAAGCTTCAATGGAGCCCCCATGTATCAAAACTAGCAAGCAGACTTAGTTCTGCAGCATATGCTGTAAAAAAGATTAGAAGTCTAACCAGAGTTGAAACAGCTAGACTAGTTTACTTTAGCTGTTTCCATAGCATAATGTCGTATGGTATTTTCCTATGGGGACACTCAGCTGACACTGAAATTATATTTGTTTTACAGAAGAGGGCCATAAGAGCAATTTATGATTTAAAGCCTAAAGAGTCGTTGCGACAAAAATTTAAGGAAATTAATATATTAACTTTGGCCTCTCAATACATTTATGAAAATGTAATGTACGTACACAAAAATAAAAGTAGTTTTACAAAAATAAGTGATATTCATTCTGTAAATACTAGGAACAGACACAAGCTATTAGTACCAGTTACTCGACTCCATCGAGTCAGTAATTCATTCTTGGGGCGATGTATACGCTTTTACAACAAAATTCCAGAAAATATACAAAATTTGACCTGCTCAAAGTTCAAAAACTTTATTAAACTAAGTTTGTATAAAAAGGGTTATTATAATATTAAGGAATTTATGGATGATAATAACGCCTGGAAATGAGGTGATCGCTACCAAGCTATTTCTAATTTGTGGTGTTGTTAATTTGAATATACATGATTGTAATCTGTTATTAAAAAAAGTCCCGCTGGGTTTCTTGCTGGTTCTTCCCAGGACAGAGGTTTTTTTCCGAACCAGTGGTAATCAAACAAAAGAGTGACTTTCAATAATTATTTATAATCTATATTGAATAAAAAAGTTTCTGTTTCTGTTACTCTTCAGTTTCATATTCAGTGCTGTCGAGGACGTGTTTAACAAAGCACACAGAAGGCATACTACTGCTTGATAGATTGTATGACATATCAGCAATTGCATACCTTCGGTGGCCTTGAAGAAAGCCGTTTAGGTTGGCTTGAGTGAAAGAAAAAGATATTTACATACAATACAATACATGAACAAAAGAAACGCATGAACAAAGTACAAACAAACTATGTACGTAATTAAAAAAACATATTATTTATATTCTAAATCGAATCGTCTCTCTTTCTTAAAGAAAGATTTGATTACGTCCGCGTAAAATGTTGGTTAACGTTTTAATTGTACCAATAACTGTTCTTCAATTGTGATAATTGATAAGACTGAAAGACGCTCTTGACCTTGTGTATTTCTCAAATAAGTATGGATTCGCTTCAGAGATCAGAAAACACGTTCCGCGGAAGAACTTGTGGCTAGTTAGTTATATATAGTTACGACAAGATAAGCTAGCTTTAAAAGCTGAGGAAAGGCCTCTTCAAGACTATTTTCGTTTATAAAGTCAATGAGTTCGAAAACATTGCGGTCTTTTAATTCAGGGGAGGAATACAATGAAATCAATTAGTTTTTCAATGTTTATCAAAATGGTTTGCATAATTTTCAAATAATGAATCTAATGCCTGTAAAGGAAAATCTGAACGATATTTTTCGAATAGTTTGTTGTTGAACAATTAGAACATTTTTAATTTGGATATATCAGAATATCTGCAATTAATTTCTGAAGATATGTTATCAATTATTTCAACGAAAAGTCGTTTGTATTCTGTCTGAGCACAGCGCACATTGCATCTCAAACGAAGTGCAAAGTTATTTTGCAATGTGTTATCATAATCTGACTGAAATTCAGTACGCAAGCATGTCTGAAACTCCTTTATTTTATTACTGCAATAACCGACATGAAATTGTGATTTTTGTAAAATATTAAACAAGCAGTTGGTTTTTTCAAATCAAAGTGGAAAATTGAAAGAAAAAAATTGAAATTAAATGAACGCAATATGTTTTCAAAATTCTCGGCGGCCAAGTTCGTATCGCCGCCCCAGTTCTGCGGATTGTTGCACATATCCGAAAACAAATTAATCAGATTATCTTTTTGTTCGAATACTGTATTCACAATTCGAGACGTATACGTCCAACGAGTTGCGGGGACATTGGGCAATGTTTTGCTGCAATGTGCATCATAAAAAGACGACCGTTTTGTGCAGTTATTAAAAAAATGAATGAAGCCTGAAGGGCAAATGTACATGGCTTGGGGACAAACATCATTAAATTTTTGTTGCACTCCATTTGTGACAACGGACATGACACTTGTACCGTCATAGCTTTGCGCAACTAGTTTTGTGGTGCAGTCATGTTTGTTTAATAATTCCAAGATGATATTACAAAGTGTGTCTGCTGTGCGACTTTCCGACACATCTACATATCCCAAAAAACGGTCATGAATATCGTTTTCATCATAATATCGGAGAATCAGACACAATCGCTCTCTGTGACTAACATCGGGAGTTACGTCAATAAATAATTGAAACAAATTTTGACAATTTTACTTAATACTCGATGCAAGTTTTCATTACATCAGCGACAGAATGAATAATGTCATTTTGGATTGTACTAGATAAATAACTCGGCCGTTTGTCGCTTTGTTGATGCTGCATATGCTTTTCTAACATGAGATCGTACTTCGAAAGAAGCGATACAAATTCTAAAAAATTACCTCTACTGTATTTAATAAAGTTTTCGACTCATCGTGACCTCTGAAAGGAAGTTCTTGTTATGCTAAATGACAAACAATATTGATTAATCTCTGCAAAACACGCATGTTGTGTTTTGTAATTTCCTCGGATAACTGACGCGACAAAGATGTTTCAATCCGACTTTTTCCAAAATTACTAAACGAAATTACCGCATTCATGTGTTTTTGAGAATTCATATGCCTTTTAATGGCTCCAGATAAGTTATTTAAATCATCATATCCAGTAGTATTCCAAGCTGTTTTATCGTTGGAAAAGAATGTGCAGCACCAACAGTACAACTTATTGGTATGTGAGCAGCGAACAATCCAATGAGTTTTGTAAACAGATCTATTAAATTGTCGTTTATGGATTTTACTCGTCTGAGAAATACACAGATCAGGCGATGGTATGAGCTGTTTTTTCTCAAGAAAGTTTAAACATTTTACCTTTTCCTCGCCGATTAGCACTTTAACACACTTCAATTCAACACAAGGAACACTATTATCTTCCATTTAAAAAGCATACATTTTCTTCATCATTCATTCGCTCAAGTAAACATAGAGTTAACATTGAAATGTGAAGTGAACTTGCAAACGTATCACCCGCACGCCCCCACGCTTGACAAACTTCACACCGAAAGTCCAGCTTATCGCTCCATACTATTTGCTATATAAACAATTGTAGTTATAGTTCATTATAGAACATTTCGCCCCAGGTTAGACAAGGAGCGATCGCCTTCTCGATAGCCCGGAAAAAGCCCACGCGTGCGAGAGAGACGACTAATCGCTCAACTCAACTCCTTTTTTATGGCAGCAGTATCGCGCAGTTTTGCCGCGCCCGGGGTCCATCCATATTGCTTTGCTTTCATTAATTTTGACAGTTTGCTTTGAGACAGAGAGAACACGAATCAGTGTATTTCGAATAGAAAGTAACCTGCCAAGTGTTGACGTTACATAATAAGGCTACGAGGCCACGACCTGTGTAGAACAGAGGAGCGCGCGGGAAATTTGAAGTAGTTTCAAACAGTTTCCGAGTTATTTAATCTGGTCAGCAGTTTGATAGGGCAAGCCCAGCTTCTCGGCTTCTATGGAGGCTTCGCTGCCGATGTATGGTTCGAAATGCATTACGAACGATGATTAACGGATGTTTAAGTATTATCACGATTAATTGTAGCTTTAATCTGAAGTTAATTTTCAATTTTCATTTCAGTATTTATTTATAATAACAAATATTATCAGCAGGGAAATTTAAGACTTTTTTTTGAAACTGAAAATAGAAATGGGCTAAGAATTGACCCTTTTGGGACACCCATTCGCACAACTGAGCACGAGAAAATGCGCCATTTATGCTCACTTTCTGTTAAACGATGTCAAAAGGTATAATGCGTAATCATGAAAACTTCAATTTTTAATACTCCTAGTATCTATATTCTTAACTATTCTACGACTGCAGAATGTAGTCCAATGTATTTTTTGTTTACCACCACTCAAATTGGCCAGGAATTTTTTAATATATTTTAGAAGAAAATGACTCGTTCGTTATTACAACTACGACGCAAAACTAAACCAACTGAATCAAAAGTTCATTAACATCTTTGAATGTTGAATTAATTGGAGTTTGATGAGATTTCCAACGACTTTAGTTACACCTATAATGTATCACCTATAACCAAAATGACCGATGTTAATGATGATTGTAATTATTTACAATTAATTAGACTTCCATTGCTTTGCTTCTTTTCTACCGACTTCAAAAAGGCTTTTTGTTTGTGCTTTGACTGTGTTTTTTTATGTGTGTTACCTCATAGCTTTTTACTGGGTGAACCGATTTCGATGATTCTTTTTTATTTGAAAGCTGGCGCTTCTCATGTGGTCCCATATAAACTTGATCAAGGTCTGACCAATAATTTTTGAGTTATTCTTAGTAACTTATATTGAAGGCGACATTACAAAATTTTTAATTTTTAATTATTTATCTTATAGTCTCTTCAAATCGAATTATGGATACTTTACACTATGCATTAATATGCTGCATTTTTTATAATTATATTACGTATCAATAACAAACAATCAACAATCAAGCACATTTTTTAAATATACCACATACACACACAGGATGAGGACGGTTATGATAATCTGCCGACTTCCAAAAAGGACACGTTACTCAATTCGACTGTAGTGTGTTACCTCATAACTTTTTACTGGGTGAACCGATTTCGATGATTGTTTTTTTATTTCAAAGCTAGTGCTTCACATGTGGTCACATAGTTTTTGAGTTACTCTTTTACATATATAAATTGTATAAGGACAAACATCCACAAAAATTATTTGTAGGCCATACAAATACATGTTCCGTGCGGGGTTCGAGGCGCGGTTCTCAGCCCCATAACTCCTTGTTAAGCCATTATTGATAGCAGTGGGGATCAAACCCAGGTTGATCACGTACTGTGACTACAGCAAAGCGAGTGGTTAGCCCCCTATCTAGTATATTTCTCTTTCTTTTTCTTGAACACTTATAAACTATCTTTTTGAGGATTAATGCAATTTTATTAATGAGTGAATGTTTATGAAAATATTTTTGGTTGCAGCTATCCAATGGCGAGTAAAGAAGAGGTGGAGAAAAATGAGGACAACTGTGCCATCTGCTGGGAGCCCATGAAGGAAGCGCGCAAGCTTCCCTGCGCACATCTCTTCCACAAGTAATTTTTTGATTAATTTATTGTAATTTATGGTCATAGTAACTGTTGCCCGCAGCTCCGCCCGCGTACGAACAGAAACGCTGAAGACTTTCTGTTCGTTCATTTTCCAACGGTTACTTTTATGTTCCCCCGGTAAAAAGTATTCCAATTGCTATTTTTTTTTATAGATTTAAGGGTGACAAGCGAACACACAGTCCACCTATGAGCAAAGGAGTGCTGTGGCCCATATACTCCTACATCTATTCTCAATTAAAAATCAAAACGTTGACATTCCTATTGACTATCTGCTGGTTCAAGCTGTCATCAAAATGTCCCAATGTATGCCCCCTCTCAATGTGATGTTAGTTCGTTCGTCACTTCAATGTTATAAATAAAACTGAGTGCGTGTACGTGTCATCATGATTATCACTCATCATCATTACAGCCCTTCACAAGTCCACTGCTGAACATAGGCTTCCCCCAAGGAACGCAACAAAGCACGGTCTCGAGCCACCTGCATCCACTGACTTCTTGCATGTCTTACTAGGTCGTCACTCTACCTAGTGGAGGGACACCCTACACTTCGCGCCTGTCGGTACGAGGCTGTTACTCGAGAACCTTTCTTCCCCATCGGTTGTCGGTTCTTCGAGATATATCACTTCAGTTTGCTAATCCGTTTGGCTATATCGGTTACTCTGGTTCTACTGCAGTCTTTAAGTCTCATCACGCGAAGAAACCCCGAGCATAGCCCTCTCCATAGCTTACTGAGCGACTTTGAGCTTCCTCATATGGACAGCAGTGAAGGACCACGTCTCAGATCCATAGGTCATCTAAGATTGCCAGATAGTCGGGATTCGTCTGGATTCGCCCGACATTTTAAATTTCAATTTCAATTTAGTTTATTTATCTCTTCACAACTTACTGCCTGGTTAACAATATCAATGTACACAGTAAGGAATGTCAATGTCCAAACTCCTGGCAAAACTCAAAATCTCTATACAAACAGCTTCTCTTCACATCACAGCTGCCTTTTATTTAATAAAAGCCGAGTTAGTAATAGACTGCACTTTAAAAAGTAAATTGTTTGAATTTTTTTTTTCTTTTCTGTATACTACTTACTACAGGATCCAAATTGGTTGACTCAGTTAAGTCCAATGCCAAATACATGTGGCAACTCAAAAATTAAGTGTACGCAAATTAGTTATGTGTTAACAATGTTAAGTTTTTTTTGACCTCTTAATTTAAATAATAAACTTTTTATTTTAATTTTTTTTAATAATTATTTCTCACAACAACCCCGTATTCTCCAGACCAGATATTTTGGTCTTCTGATCAGGTATTTCTATGGTCATCACTGGAAACACGCACTGGTTGTACAATTTAGTTTTGAGGTATGTCTAACGAGTAGATTTGTCTTAATCTCCCGAACGCTGCCCAGCCTAGTTGAATCGATTGACTTCTGGGTCAAAATTGAACTTACCTAGTCAGACTATTTGTCCCAGGTAAACATACTCGTCTACAACATCGAGCTTAGTGATCCCAACAGCTACCCGCATAGGTTACACATGACTTTAGTCCATGTTCATATCTTAAGACCTATCCGTTAGAAAACCCTATTGAGGTCATTGAGCATAGTGCTTAGGTCCTCCAGCGATTCTGCCATAAGGACTAAGTATATCGTCGGCAAATCGAAGGTGAGTGATGTACTTGCCATTGACGTTAATACTGTATACTTTACGGTCCAGTAACTTGAAAACTTCTTTCAATGCAGCGATGAAGAGTTTCGGGGATATAACTTCACCCTGTCTTACACCTCTCTGTAGTTGGATAGGATTGGTACTCTGATTCTGTACTCGGATAGCCATCGTAGCTCTACTGTACAAACACTTCAGTACTTCGATATTTTTTTTATAGGAGCACTTTAGCACTTCGATATACCGACAGTCAACTTGGCACCGCTGAAGGGACTGCAGCACTGCCAAAATCTATATAAACAAAATCGACGGAATCAAAGGCTTTCTCATAGTCCACATACGCCAGAAGTAGTGGCAAATTGTACTCCTTGGACTTCTGTACAATTTGCCGAAGGGTATGTATGTGGTCTATGGTGGTAAAGCCTTTTCGGAAACCGGCTTGTACGGGAGGCTGGAAGTCGTCAAGTCTGCGCGCGAGACGTTTCGTAATGACTTTGGAAAACAGCACGTAGACGCGGCTCAGAAGGGCAATCGGTCTGTAGTTCTTCAAGAGAGCGTTGCCACCTTTCTTGCAGAATGCCACCATCGAGGATGGAATTAAAGAGCTTCTGAAGTACTTCAAGTACCGGTTTTCCACCCGCTTTCAGAAGCTCTGCTGTAATTCCATCCTCGCCTGGGGCCTTGCCGTTTTTATGGTGCTCGAGAGCCGTTCTAATCTCGCTCAGACTGACCTCCGGGATATCATCGGAATAATGTCGGATAAGACTCGCTCTTGGATCGTTACTCACACTTACGTGTGGCTCCAACGATGATGTGTACAGCTGCCCATAGAATCTCTCAATCTCACTCAAAATCTCAGGTGTCCCGGAAATGACGCTGCCACACTCGGTCTTCAGCTTTGACAGTTGGCTCTTTCTGGCAGACAGATCTCTAGCAAAGGCTTTGGAGCCCTGGTTCCGCTCGATCGCTTCTTCAATACGAGCAGTATTAAAGTTGCGTAAGTCCCGCCGTATGCATTTGGAGATCTGTTTGTTCAGTTGCCTGTACGCTGTCAAATTTACTGAAGACTCCAGCTTCATATCCCGTCTAACAGCCATTAGATTAAGAGTGTGATCGGAGAATTTTTGTGTTCTTCTGCGGCGGGTCTTGCAAAACTTAGCTCCGTCCGTATGGACAGTTTCCACGAGCTTGTCATTCATATCGTCCATTTAGATTCATATTAAAATAAATTACATTTCATTTTTAATGAAATGAAAAGAAATAGAGCATGTAGCTCTATTTCTTTCTTCTTTACATTTTACATTGATTACATAATAGGTTTAATAAAAATAAATAATATTTTTTCGTTTACGCCCCATTTTCGCCGCCACCCCAGTCATAATACAAATCACAAAAATCAATTCGTTCGCCCTTTCATTCTGATGCCCTTGGTGCTACCAAATTCGGAATCAGTGGTGTAATGAAATGAATGTAAACTAAGTAAACAGTTTTAAACTTGTCACAACATGCGCCATCCCTTTGGCTTCGTGCGGAATAAACAGTTCTTTACGTTCTCACATTACGTTCTCAATTCGTTTTTGTTCCGAACAAAATGTTATACAAGGAACCGGTCCAAACGTTTTCAAAGGGTTAGTTTTAATAACGTTTCGGAGGCGTGTTGTATCGCATTGCATTGTGTGTGCGCAGCTCTTGCCTGTGCCGCTGGGTGCAGCAGGACGCGTCGTGCCCCACGTGCCGGCGCGCGCTGTCGGCCGCCGCGCCGCCTGCTGCCACGCTGCCACCGCTGCCTCAGCTGCCGCCGCTCGCCCCGCTGCCACCGCTGCCGCCGCTGCCCGCCGACCCCGCAGACCCCGCGCACCCCGCGCCGCAACCCAACCACTTCTTCCACTTTGACGGTTAGTACTAGCCTGCGCTATACAGTTCACTTGTTTGTAGCTCATCGTAACCATTATATTTAACAGTATCTCTAACTAATATAACTTCATTTTTGTGATTTAGGTAAACACTAGTACTTATTTCACAGTGTTTATCCAAATCCAAATCACAAAAGTTTCACCAAACACGGCTAATAATTTTCTGCTCACCATATGTCGCTAGTATCCACTGAGGAAAATATCATTTAATTGAGAAGTTACTTTTTAATAAATGTCTTATCAGTATCTAGAGTAATAATTTAATATACAAAACAATGCCTCAATGGTTGTGAGTTGACTGTTTTTTTGCACATTTTTAACTTTTTTTTTAATTTTTCCACTGTTATCAAAATCTGTGGTTTGGTTATAGTTATTTTTAATCATATTTTTTTTATTTATTTATTTATTAAAAAAAACGTTACCTCCACACTAGAATTTTACATACATAGATTTCACAAGGACAAACATCCAGACCCAGAACAATTATTTGTAGGCCATACAAATACTTGTTCCGTGCGGGATTCGAACCCGCGGCCCTTAGCGCTGCAACTTATTGCTAAGCCACTGCGCCACGGAGCCGTCTATTATATTATTATAATATCGTCTATTATATTACATTAATATAAAATGTAATAGCTTATAATACAGAAAGAAATATTAACTCTTACATTTTCCGAACAAACTAATTACTTTCCCGCTATGAAAGCTATCAAATATTATTATACCTTACTTTTAAGTGGCGCCGCCCTATATAATTTGTCAAATATTTGTCCTTTATTCCTAATCATGTCCAGTTTTGTTGAAACGCGTGTATTTGGGTGCCCGGACACGTATTATATCGAAAAAAAAGCCTAATCAGAAATTTGATCGAAACCCTTACATTTTGCCCTTTCATTCACAACGTTTAGGCCCTGTCCGCACTGTGATATTTCATCGCGCGATTTTTTTCTCGCAATTCTGTAACACAGAATCTTGTAGGAGTAGCCGCACTTACGGTAAAAATATCACGCGGGAATAAATCAGTGATTTGATGCAAATTGAACGCGAAGCGGTGCGATTTATTGTATTAGACGTATCAAAAGATGTTATGAACATTGGATTTACTAATTTACAACCTTGAGACCTATGAAAGTATTTTTCTACATAAAACTTCAAAGGCTGCGAAAATACAGTAAAAAGTTTTTCGGATGTTACAGAATGACTATAAAATCATTCGATAATTTACTACGACTTGTTGGTTAGACCATTACCTATCAAGATACGAATTGCCAAAAATAATTTTAGCTGGAGAGAGACGCGAAACGCTCGAATTTTATTCCGCAGTGCGTACATAGATATACTTACTTTACACTGCACAAAATATTCACGTGGAAATAAATCGCACTGCTTCGCGTTCAATTTGCATCAAATCACTGATTTTTCCCGGCGCGATTTATTTACCGCCAGTGCGGCTACTCCTACAAGATTCAATATGTTACACAATTGCGAGAAAAAAATCGCGCGGTGAAATATTGCAGTGCGGACAGGGCCTTAAAGTTAGGTTTTTTTTTATTTAAAAAGATTAAACGTCACTCAATGTCAATGTGTCCGCCTAAAGAAAATTTACGTCTAAATTTTCCGCGCAATAACAATCCGATCCGAAAATGACCGCCTAAAGAAAAATTGTAATCAAAATTTTCCGTGCAATACGTATCAATAGAATTCTGAAATGATTTAAATGAAACAGCGCCTTCTCCTGTACATAGTATTATTTTCTATACTCACTAGTGTCGTGCTCCTTTTGCTTCTGCGGTTGGGAATTTTGGAATGGGATTTGTCAGGTATGTGTATATGTATTTCATATCTCAGAAGATTACAGATAAAATAAAGGAACAATTCTACTTCCTTTATTTTACAGAAGATATGAAATAACTAAATAATGTAGTATGTTCAATTTTTCGTTTGCCTATAAATTATTCTTTTTACAGTTTTATAGGCAAATAATGTTAAATATAATTATAACACGTTATTTAATTTTATTATACATATACACATCAAAGCCTAGCCAAAATATTATAATATATATTAGGAAGTCGTACTTATCAAAAAAATATTGAAAATCAACTATTTTTGCAATATTTATGTCAATTGCCACCGTAAAACTGACGTTATTTTGTATTGTCGTTGCCAGTAGGGATGTCGATTATTTCCGAAAAAGTTCGATTTTTTTAAATCGATTCAAATCGTAAGCTTTCGATTCACAAAAAATCGATTTCTAAAATATCTATATTTTTTCATGTTTGCATTTATAATGTAAATATAAATCCATTTTATGAAAAACAAGAAATATACCATAATAAATGATCTCTTATTGAAATTTGTTTTATTTTTTCAGTACCTATTAGGGCAGATAACAAACGCTCTAGAACATCCCCTCCTTTGAAGTTAGAGTATTGCTTATTTACACTAAGGATTACACACATTCCCGCTTATAATAACATGTCTTTGTAGAAAAATTGAACTTTGAAACTTTTCTTTTTCGCTGCAGCTATATATACATTTTATTTATTTTACCGCTACAGACTAAATTCAAATTCAAATTTCATTTATTTACAAGAATGTAGTTACAAAAAAGGTGTTGTTGCAATATTAAGGCGCTAATACATTCTACCCACTATTTGGGTGTGCAAATATTTAAATGGAAATAAGTTAATTAAATTACACTACACCAACACTACACAGATTCTTCGCGTCACTATTGTTAAACGTTAAACGTCGTAATTTGAATGGAACATAAATAAAATCGAAACGTGTACTTTATTACTTAAAATTTATGACCCGTACCATACACTTGGTAGCGTTAATTTCTATAGCCCAATGGCTTACTATAGAACTGATCCCCGTGGGTTGATGTTAATTTTAATGTACTTTGTTGTTACGCTATTAGCCAAAATATTCTACTCCTGATACTCTGCATTTGTCTTCTCTCGACGTTTAGTGTTCTGAAGGTTTCACTTGTACCGCGTGTGTAATGGTATGAATAATAATTTTTTAATCATACGATTGTCGTATGATTAGCTACAGTCAATATATATTTATCTATGTTTTTTGTTTTTGTCTTTAATTGGATTTTTATTATTCAGAATATTAATTTCAAAACAAAGAAAAAACACCTAGATATTATTTTAAATTTTTTTAAATTTTGGCTAGCTTCTGATGCAACAGTTAAGAGAGGTTCTAAATTACTTACATCATCTACCTACTCATATAAATGCACCTATTTTACAATATAATAAATTTACAATATTTATATTTCAGTATACTTATACTCATTGATATTTTTTTTACTATTATTTGAAGTGTTTTTATATTGTATTTGATGTTTGTTTCACGAAGGGTTTCATCACCACTACCTAATCACCTGATGGGATTGTAGTGGAACGCTGGGTTATAAAAACTAAAAAAGACGCTTCGTCCACCATTTGCTTAGGGTATTTCGTATTTCCTTCTTTTGAAAACTACACATTTTCAGCTTGTTCATAATCTTTAACTTTTACATAGTATACCTCAGTTTTTCTTTTTACTCATGCACAAAATGGAGTTACGACAAATTTTACGCAATCAACTGAAGGTGCCCACAGAACCAAGTTGATAAAGAGTGGAACCCTTTTTCAACTGTTCTACTGCTGTAAATATGTGTGGACCTAGGCATGGGCGGTTGAATCAACGAACTAGTTGAATCAAACGTTGATCTTTTGCCAACGAGTCAACTATTTGTTACACGACATGTTAATTAGTAGTTTGAAACAAGTTGCGCAGAAGCGCAAGTGCAGTTTATGTTGTTATAATTAATATTATAGTCGAAGTTAATAACGTCCCTAATTTTTGAACTACATAAACTTTAGTTATTGGGAATCATTTCAAATTGTTTCTAAAATAACATATAGTACTCTTAAACAAGTAAACTGTTTAGTAATGTAAGCTGACATTAGTGAATACGTCAACTAGTGGATAAGTCAACTAGTTAATCAACTAGTGTACGAGTAAAAACCAATGGCTTCGTTACGTTACCGAAATAACTATTAACGATCCATCACTAGTGGGCGCTGTGGTTATTATAGCTTCCACGCTTGACGTCACGACTGAACTAACGGGGTGGGTTGTGAAACCAAGTTTAAAAAGGATGGAATCTTTTTTCAACTTTTTTGCTGCTGAAAATATGTTGTCCACTTCAGCACAACAGTGTTCATTATGGCTCGCGCACATGAAGTGACGGATCAGCTAAGTAAGAAGCTAAAAGCTGGTTGTTTTATTTATAGAAAATAGGGTGACAAACGCGGACACAGTCCACTAGATGGTAAATGGATGCTGTAGTCCATAGACATCTACTTCTATCCTCGATCAACAATCAAAAATGCAGACGCTTTGTGACTTCTGAGGACTAAAATGGAATGCCTTGTATCGAGTTAAAATAGTCTCCGGTCCGGTCATGCTGTGTTTCATATGGTGAGTGTAAAGACACTCACCATACGAAACACAGCAGTATTAATCTGTTATTTTACACTGGTATTCTGTGAGAATGTGATCCTTCCCCGGTTGAGCCGAGCTATTAGTGCTACAAATATAATATAGCTGCAGCGTGGCTCTACCATGAATAAACAGCGAGGCTCTACTCTACCACGTGTAGACGTGGCGGCAGAGCTGATAAAGCGGTTTGGTTGTGCGCAGTGTGGGCAATTGTTGACCACCGCAGCATAGCAAACTTCGCTATAGCTGACGCGATTGTCGTGACGGCAGAGCTAAGAAGAGATTAAAGGCGGGTTGTGTGTGTGTGTGTGTGCGCAGGTTCGCGCTACGTGTCGTGGCTGCCCAGCTTCTCCGTGGAGGTGACGCGTGTGCGCGCGCCCACCGCGCCGCCCGACGCCTCGCAGCTCGACGCCATGGCGCGCCAGGTACCGCACAAGCTATGCACATGGTGCACATGCTACACAGCACACATCGCACACACTACACACGTGCACACGCTACACCTGCTACACGCGCCGCCAGCGCTACGCACTGTCCGCAATACACATGGTGCACATGCTACACAGCACACATCGCACACACTACACACGTGCACACGCTACACCTGCTACACGCGCCGCCAGCGCTACGCACTGTCCGCAATACACATGGTGCACATGCTACACAGCACACATCGCACACACTACACACGTGCACACGCTACACCTGCTACACGCGCCGCCAGCGCTACGCACTGTCCGCAATACACATGGTGCACATGCTACACAGCACACATCGCACACACTACACACGTGCACACGCTACACCTGCTACACGCGCCGCCAGCGCTACGCACTGTCCGCAATACACATGGTGCACATGCTACACAGCCCACATCGCACACACTACACACGTGCACACGCTACACCTGCTACACGCGCCGCCAGCGCTACGCACTGTCCGCAATACACATGGTGCACATGCTACACAGCACACATCGCACACACTACACACGTGCACACGCTACACCTGCTACACGCGCCGCCAGTGCTACGCACTGTCCGCAATACACATGGTGCACATGCTACACAGCACACATCGCACACACTACACACGTGCACACGCTACACCTGCTACACGCGCCGCCAGCGCTACGCACTGTCCGCAATACACATGGTGCACATGCTACACAGCACACATTGCACACACTACACACGTGCACACGCTACACGTGCTACACGCGCCGCCAGCGCTACGCACTGTCCGCAATACACATGGTGCACATGCTACACAGCACACATCGCACACACTACACACGTGCACACGCTACACCTGCTACACGCGCCGCCAGCGCTACGCACTGTCCGCAATACACATGGTGCACATGCTACACAGCACACATCGCACACACTACACACGTGCACACGCTACACCTGCTACACGCGCCGCCAGCGCTACGCACTGTCCGCAATACACATGGTGCACATGCTACACAGCCCACATCGCACACACTACACACGTGCACACGCTACACCTGCTACACGCGCCGCCAGCGCTACGCACTGTCCGCAATACACATGGTGCACATGCTACACAGCACACATCGCACACACTACACACGTGCACACGCTACACCTGCTACACGCGCCGCCAGCGCTACGCACTGTCCGCAATACACATGGTGCACATGCTACACAGCACACATCGCACACACTACACACGTGCACACGCTACACCTGCTACACGCGCCGCCAGCGCTACGCACTGTCCGCAATACACATGGTGCACATGCTACACAGCACACATTGCACACACTACACACGTGCACACGCTACACGTGCTACACGCGCCGCCAGCGCTACGCACTGTCCGCAATACACATGGTGCACATGCTACACAGCACACATCGCACACACTACACACGTGCACACGCTACACCTGCTACACGCGCCGCCAGCGCTACGCACTGTCCGCAATACACATGGTGCACATGCTACACAGCACACATCGCACACACTACACACGTGCACACACTACACCTGCTACACGCGCCGCCATCGCTACGCACTGCCCGCACTACACATGGTGCACATGCTACACAGCACACACATCGCACACACTACACACGTGCACACGCTACACCTGCTACGCACGCTGCACATGCCTTACGAGCCGCTAGCGCTACGCACTACACACGTTCACACCCTACACTCGCTACACACGCTACACACGTGCACTCTTGCACACGCTACACAAACTGCCCACGTTACTCAAAATGTACACATGAACAAGTTACACACGATGCATACGTATACACTCTGCAAACGCTATATGCACTGCACGCGCTACATGCACTATGTACTGCACCCGATACACACGCTGCACACACTACTCAAGCTTCTCATATAATATCCTCCAAACCGGATATCGGTCACGGTGGCCAGCCGCAGCGGAGACTAGCCCTCTGCGCAACACAGGATTATAGTGCCCGAGTGTATGCGCAAGCACAGGTACACTCCCTATTCCCTCATTCTCATAGTGTGATGGGACGGTAACCCGACACGACCGGAGAGAGATCATGCGCAGGACCTAAGATTACGTGCTTTCCGAGGCGCAGAGGTGAAACATCATTAACTTTATTTTTCCTGAATTTCCTGACAGAAAAACTCAATTTGACCCCATGATGTCGCTTTTGCGACCACTAGACCAACGAGGCTATCACTTATACATCGCACACACTATACAAGCTACACGCGCCAATAGCACTACGCACTTCTATATACACAGTCAAAATATTTTTTTAAGTCGTAAAAGCTAGTTCATCGCTTCAATAAATCCCTACTGCGGGAGATTTTGTAAAGAATAGCAGGAAAAAACTCATAAGTAGACTATTTTTCTCCTAATAGTAATTTATACTTAAAAATTATACATATTAACATAAGTAATAAAATCTATCAAAAGTCATTATATCGACGCATTCTTATCTTTAAAATAATCACGTTATTTACCGTGACATTCTTTGTTTAGAATGGTTTTAACACATCGTTTGAAATTATATGAAGACAACTCAATAATATTACAGGGAATCTTGTTATAAATAAGTTATACATGTACCCAAAAATGAGACGCTACTTTATGGAACCTTTACAACAGCAGCACTATACACTAAACTCAGTACATACTACACACACTACATGCACTACGCATGCTACACAGTTAACGCACTACATAATACAAACTACACGCACTACTTTTACAACACGTGCTACATACTACACAAGCTGCACGAACTACACACTGTACGCGAAATTTACAATACACTACACGGTTAATATAAAAGGGAGATGTAATGATAGAGAGTTTTTGCAGGTGCAACAAGTGTTCCCACAGTTCACCCTGAACGCGCTGGCGAGTGATTTGGCTCAGACTCTGTCTCCAGACCTCACCGTGGACAACATCCTGGCCGGCCGGCTGCTGCCACGACAACACCTGGGTACGTGAGCTATAGATACTCCGTTATGTCTTCCTCAACGACTTTGGTCAAGGCCACGTCTGAATTCTATAGTGGCACTAGTGTGTTTTAATTATCACTACAAGATATACGAAATGATATGGAAAAAAAATTAATTACTGCAGAATCTACTACACCTGAAGATGCCACGTGTAGAGGTGATACACGTGTCGTATTATCGTTGGTGTGTTTTACCTAGGGTAGTGGTGTTTGGGAGTAGCGGTGCTGGAATTAGTGGTGACGGGGATAGTGCACGCAATCGATGGAGGTCGGAAGGTGCTCTTCAAACTACGTAAGACACGTCATTTTATTTTATTGAGCGGATATTGGCAAAGTAAATTTTTCCAATTTTAATATAATGGATTTTCGCAAAGTAGCGCTCGTTGCTATTAATTATCAAAAAAAAAATATTATCACAAGCAAAGAGTTTAATGTATACTACCAGATCGGCGCAGGCGGGTAGGTCGCACGGTAAATATGTCAGTCACGCAGTTGTATTTACATACGGAATGTAGCGATGTCCTTGTTAGTTTCAATGAAAGAGCTTATGATCTTTTACTAATTCTATTCAATGTATTAGTCACTTACTGTATTTTTATTAATACAAAAGCAGTTATAGAAATTTTAACACTGAGATCAAGTTATAAATTGTTCGAAGTTTGTATTTCAAGGACTTTTTTAAGCTCTATCTGATGCTGCCACACGTAAAGCTTATAGCCATTTAGTTACCTGGATACTTGGCGTTTTGCCACAATTTCATGTGTAATAATCACAAAATAATTTCTAATGCGACTTCTATAAAAAAAGAACTAAAGTTAATTATCAACCTTAATTATTACACTGTACGATATTCTACTCTGGGTTTGGCGACTTACCGCTACAATCTCCCTGCAACCACGAATCCAGGGGCTGACTAAAGGAGCTCGGGGCAACCGACGCAATGCAATAGTTCATAATTACTGCTACTCTGTATGGCGCTACGTAACATATACATTAATTACACATGGACAAACCTATGATCGTGTAATGGCCGTGTAAGAATATCCACTATCCTCATATCATCCCGTGGGTGTAGTAAAAGGTGACAGAGAGGAACAAATCAGGGGATGGGCAGCAGCATCTTCCTAATAACGACTAAAAATTAAAAAACCGCGGTTGCCACCCCGCTTGCCAAGCGTGGCAACTATGGCAAATATCCTCTCTATGAGGCAATCTATGAGGCCTATGTTCAGCATTGGACTTTAATAGGCTGCAATGGTAATGGACAAACCTAGACTACAGAACCAGAGTACGAAACTTATCCAATTGCAGAGAGGTGTAAGACAGGGTGATGTTATATCCCCGAAACTTTTCACCGCTGCATTGGAAGACGTTTTTAAGCTTCTGGACTGGAAAGGATACGGTATTAACATCAATGGCGAGTACATCACTCACCTTCGATTTGCCGACGATATAGTCCTTATGGCAGAATCGCTGGATGACCTAAGCACCATGCTCAATGACCTCAATAGTGTCTCCCAACGGATAGGTCTTAAGATGAACATGGACAAAACAAAGATCATGTTCAATGTCCATGTCACACCTATGCCGGTAGTTGTTGGGAGCACTAAGCTCGAAGTTGTTGACGAGTATGTTTACCTGGGACAAATAGTCCAACTAGGTAAGTCCAACTTCGACCGAGAGGTCAATCGACGGATTCAACTCGGTTGGGCAGCGTTCGGGAAACTACGACAGATCTTCTCGTTAGACATACCTCAAAACCTTAAAACGAAAATGTACAACCAGTGCATGTTGCCAGTGATGACTTACGGATCTGAGACGTGGTCCTTCACTGCTGGCCGTAAGAGGAAGCTCAAGGTCGCTCAGCGAGCTATGGAGAGGGCTATGCTCGTGTTTTTCTGCGTGATAAACTTAGAAATGAGTATATCCGCAGTAGAACCAGAGTAACCGACATAGCACAAAGGATTGGTAAGCTGAAGTGGCAGTGGGCCGGCCATATAACTCGAAGAACCGACAACCGATAGGGAAGAAAGGTTCTTGACTGGCAGCCTCGTACCGGTAGGCGAAGTGTAGGGCGACCCCCCTCGAGATGGAGTGACGACCTGGTAAGACGTATAGGAAGTCGATGGATGCAGGTGGCTCAGGACCGTGCTTTGTGGCATTCCTTGGGGGAGGCCTAAGTTCAGCAGTGGACTTATGAAAGGCTGTAATGATGATGATGATGAAACCTAGATCGGGCATAAATATTTATAGGCCTAACGAAAACTTTCCTTTGTTGGAATCCCACCTAGACATTATTTAATTGTCGGTTGAAAAGGCCTAAATACAATATTGTTTTCTTTAACAGAAGAGCCTACGAGCAGTGTAAACACTTCAGTGATACCAGAAACAGCCACAAACGGCACTAGCGATACTACTACACCAACCACTACCACCAACAACTCCAGCACTTCGAGCGACAGTCTGGATGCCGGCAGCAGTACTCCAGAGCTTGCCTCACAGCACGACGAACAGTAAGTGTGAACACCCGACTGCCCGATAAGGAGGGTAGTTTTTCGAGAGTATGTATGTCTATTTCTTTGGCATGCTCTGTAGCCTAAACGGCTTTATGGATTTTAACATATAGGGTGTTATTATAAAGCAAATAAAAAACGTGTGTGTGTGTGTGTGTGTGTGTGTGTGTGTGTGTGTGTATACTTACATACGCACTTAAGAAGTTATACTTCTTTTACGTAACAAAACAAAAAAAAATAACAAAAATTTATCCTTTGCTTCGCCAGTACTCTTTGTTTGTGAAAAAAATACATTAAATGGAATTTGTAACGTTTTGATTAAAAAATATATAGTTAACTTTAAAGAGCTTTAACAAATAAACTTAATTTAACTTTAAAAGTATAATTTATTCGAAATTATACTCAATAAAATTCAATTACTTATGTTCATTAATTGATCTGACTCTGATTCAATAGCCATGTGCAACGCAAGAGGTTTATGGTAGTTAAAATATGATATGAACGTTTAGCTAAAATATGGTAGAAACGTTTTCTAAATGTCGTATGAATACTGCAATCAATTGTAGTACCATTGTTGTGTTGTAGAAACTGTGACGTCAATATTCATTGACAGATTTCGATTTCGATAAAGAATCGTTACATAAAAAGTTGATAAACATTTTCGTATCTTCACGTTTATCCATAATATACGCCCCTCCGATTATTGTGTATGGAAATTACGCCCGTTTTAAAAAATGAACTTTATCTTAAATTTTTTGATTTAGAGAACTATAAATTGCTATTAAAACAATTCTTTACCGTCTTTGGTTTTACACTCCGTTTTACAAAATTCACGCACTGATAACATTGCTAAAATTACAAAATCAGTTTCATTGGTGCGAGAGAGTCTAGTTCAACAAAATCAGACTGCCTCGCAGTCATGTTTTCTTTGGTTAATGAAATTCTGGATGTCTTTACTAATTGTCACTAAGCGATTATTTGAGAGTCCCTTAAATTCATCTTGAAGACTAGTAACTGCAGTTGATGGTCTGCGGACATGATAGAAAATATTGTCATTGTCTTTTGTTGTGATGAATAAACCTTCAATACTTGTTACGCGTGATAAAGCGACATGAACTAATGACAATTGATGTTGATATCGTATTCATAAACTATTTCGGGATATGTACTCACTTGTGATTTTTGAATTGTCGTTGCACAAGCACAAACTAAAGGTAAATGCGAACGCTTAATGTTAATTGTTTTAGTGTTGTTAAGGGAAATAGTTGAAGATCTACATACGTCCCATCGGCACTGCATTTTTATTAATTTGAATAGCAGCTACATGTCCAACAACTTTCTTTCGGATTTTTTGGGCGATCTTTTGTAAGTCTGTAAACTCAACCCACACAATATTTACTTCTCCATCTTCATTGTATTCAATATAAACTAGTTTACCTACTGCTCCATTTGCCAAACCATCAGACACGTCTAACTTTATCGTTATTATGTAAAAAAAAAACATCCATCACAAATATAGTTTCGTAAGGCAATCCTCCAGTACAAACAATTAGTGACATTTTGAACAGCTTTGGGCAAAAAGAAGCTGTTTGTTTTGCCGATGTACAACGAGTAAATATATCTTTCTCTATTGAAGTGATTTTTTCTTGTGCAAGACTTATTTTTTTTTTATTGTTATACCTTGTTACAGCTTCATTTGTATTAAATTAATAATCTAAATCCATGCGGATATTCAGTTTCTGTTTGTTCATTAGTTACAAAACGTGATTCTAATGAATCTAATTCCAATGCACTAAGTTGTTCACCACTTCCAATCTTAGTTATTATTGTAGAAAACTGTTGATTTGATTGCCTCATTACCTGGTCTAACTCATAAAATTTAAATCCACGCCACAAAATAGACCCAACAAACCTTTGTTTATGTTGTTTATATATTAGAGTAGCTCTAACTGGTGTTAACTGGGGCAAATATCCAATCAGAATGATAATCTGTTATTAATCTCCTTTAGGCATCCTGATGGACCCGTAAAAAATATTTGAAATGGATCACTACCTGAAGCTAATAGATTTGAAATAACATGTAACAAAAGTTCTCTTTGCTTCATCATCATCATCATTACAGCCCTTCACAAGTCCACTGCTGAACATAGGCCTCCCCCAAAGAATGCCACAAAGCACGGTCCTGAGCCACCTGCATCCATCGAGTTCCTGCATGTCTTACCAGGTCGTCACTCCATCTCGTGGGGGGACGCCCTACACTTCGCCTACCGGTACGAGGCTGCCACTCGAGAACCTTTCTTCCCCATCGGTTGTCGGTTCTTCGAGCTATATGGCCGGCCCACTGCCACTTCAGCTTACTAATCCGTTGGGCTATGTCGGTTACTCTGGTTCTACTGCGGATATCCTCATTCCTAAGTTTATCACGCAGAGAAACTCCGAGCATAGCCCTCTCCATAGCTCGCTGAGCGACCTTGAGCTTCCTCATACGGCCAGCAGTGAAGGACCACGTCTCAGTTCCATAAGTCATCACTGGCAACACGCACTGGTTGTACAATTTCGTTTTCAGGTTTTGAGGTATGTCTGACGAGAAGATGTGTCTTAGCTTCCCGAACGCTGCCCAGCCGAGTTGAATCCGTCGATTGACCTCTCGGTCGAAGTTGGACTTACCTAGTCGGACTATTTGTCCCAGGTAAACATAATCGTCAACAACTTCGAGCTTAGTGCTCCCAACAACTACCGGCATAGGTGTGACATGGGCATTGAACATGATCTTTGTTTTGTCCATGTTCATCTTAAGACCTATCCGTTGGGAAACACTATCGAGGTCATTGAGCATAGTGCTTAGGTCCTCCAGCGATTCTGCCATAAGGACTATATCGTCGGCAAATCGAAGGTGAGTGATGTACTCGCCATTGATGTTGATACCGTATCCTTTCCAGTCCAGAAGCTTGAAAACGTCTTCCAATGCAGCGGTGAAGAGTTTCGGGGATATGACGTCACCCTGTCTTACACCTCTCTGCAATTGGATAGGTTTCGTACTCTGGTTCTGTACTCGGATAGCCATCGTAGCCCTACTGTACAAGCACTTCAACACTTCGATATACCGACAGTCAACTTGGAACCGCTGAAGGGACTGCAGCACCGCCCAAATTTCGACGGAATCAAAGGCTTTCTCATAGTCCACATACGCCAGACATAGTGGCAAATTGTACTCTTCGGACTTCTGTACAATTTGCCGAAGGGTATGTATGTGGTCTATGGTGCTAAAGCCCTTTCGGAAACCGGCTTGTTCGGGAGGCTGGAAGTCGTCAAGTCTGCGCGCGAGACGATTCGTAATGACTCTCGAAAACAGCACGTAGACGCGGCTCAGAAGGGAAATCGGTCTGTAGTTCTACAAGAGAGCGTTGTCACCTTTCTTGAAGAACAAGACCACCGCACTTCTGCTCCACGCCTCCGGTGTAGTGCCACCATGGAGGACGGAATTAAAGAGCTTCTGAAGGACTTCAAGTACCGGTCTTCCACCCGCTTTCAGAAGCTCCGCTGTAATTCCATCCTCGCCTGGGGCCTTACCGTTTTTAAGGTGCTGGAGAGCCATTCTAATCTCGCTCAGACTGACGTCCGGGATATCTTCGGAATAGTGTCGGATGAGACTCGCTCTTGGATCGTTACTCACACTTGCGTGTGGCTCCAACGATGACGTGTACAGCTGCCCATAGAACCTCTCAATCTCACTCAAAATCTCAGGTGTCCCGGAAACGATGCTGCCACACTCTGTCTTCAGCTTTGACAGGTGGCTCTTTCTGGCAGACAGATCTCTGGCAAAGACTTTGGAGCCTTGGTTCCGCTCGATCGCTTCTTCAATACGAGCTGTATTGAAGTTGCGTAAGTCCCGCCGCATGCATTTGGAGATCTTTCTGTTCAGATGCCTGTATGCTGTCAAGTCTGTTGAAGAATGTAGCTTCATCTCCCGTCTAACAGCCATGAGATTAAGAGTGTGATCGGAGAGTTTTTGTGTTCTTCTGCGGCGGGTCTTGCAGAACTTAGCTCCGACCGCATGGACAGTTTCCACGAGCTTGTCATTCATATCGTCCACTTCATTGCAGTCTTCTAGGCACTGAAAACGGTTTTGTAACTCGAGCTGAAAGGTTTCGGGACTTTGGAACAGAGCACGAGGGGGACGGAGCGTTGACTTCATTAGACGAGACCTCTCCAACTTAACGTTTAGGTTCAGTGTGCCTCTAACCATTCGGTGATCGCTACCAGTTTTCACCCTCGCGATCACGGAGACATCACTGAACAGTTGTCGTCTGGTCGTCATAATGAAGTCAATCTCATTTTTTGTCGAACCGTCGGGGCTCGACCAGGTCCACTTCCTGTGGGGCCGCTTCTGGAAGAAAGAGTTCATCATAAAGAGTCCCTCTTTCTCCATGAAGTCGGCCAGCTGCTGGCCCCTTGGGTTCCGTTGCCCTATTCCAAATTTCCCTACTTTCAGCTCACCGTTCTCTCTTGTGCCTAGTTTTGCATTGAAGTCTCCCATTAACACCGTATATTGGGTTTTGGAGGAATACATGGCTCTAGAGATATCCTCATACATTTCCTCCACCTCCCCATCGGGGTGTGCCGAGGTTGGTGCGTAAACCTGTATGACCTTCCGCGAATACCGTTTGGTGATTCTGAGTATAAGGTACGCAACCCTCGTCGACACACTCCCGATCTTTACAACGTTGTTAACGAGAGACTTGTGGACGATAAATCCGACACCTCCTTGGGACAGATGGTCGCCCTCCCGGTGATAGAGCAAGTTGCCGGATTCGAGGATTACCGTGTCCTCCCCCTCTCTTCGGACTTCGGATAATTCTATAATATGCCAGCGCAACTTGTCTATCTCTTCTTCCAGCTCCACGATCTTCTCGTCAGTCCTCAGGGTGCGTGCGTTGTACGTTGCCAGGTCGAGTCGTCTAAGGTGGCAACCGAACCTCCACCGGAGATTCTTAGCACCCCCTGCCCCGCCGTTACCATGGTCGCCACCGTAGCCAGGAATAGCGGGGCCGCCGGGGACTGGGGGCCGTCTCTTTGTTACATTCATAGGGGGGTATTTGCCATAGTTGCCACGCTTGGCGAGCGGGTTGGCAACCGCAGTTTTTTTTTATTATAATTTTGGCTATTATCAGGAAGATGCTGCTGCCCATCTCCTGCCTGTTTCCCTTTGTCGCCTTTTACGACACCCACGGGAGGATATGGGGTAGTGGTATTCTTGACCGCCACTACACGGTTTGCTTATCGTTAGCTATTCTCATCAACTCAGAAAATTCTAGATTAAGCATCAAATTTTCCCGCTTTTTAGCAATGGGACCAAGTTTGCTAAGTGCAGCTAAGCATAGATCACTGTTTACATCGGAAATAGGATCATCATACAATGTTGGAATGGATTAGGATCACGCATAATATCTTCTACCATCTTCTCGATATAAATTCGACATATTTCAATAGATTATTTTAATATCCAACTTTGATTCAAACTCTTTGCGTCTAGTTAAGATTAAATCTTCATTCTTGTTATATAATTCAATGAATTTTATTTCAGCTAGTATTTCTTCTTCTTCATTCCGAAATGAAAAATGTAGAGATACCATTTCACCTTTATAATCATTTAAATCTTTTCCCATATCACAATTTTGAAAACGAATAATCCGTGTAACTTCTTTTCGTATAAGCCCTAGTGTTTCTGTTCGTATTTGTCGCACCAATTTTCCATCTAAATATTTGTAGAATCATCTCCAATACCTATCTCATCTTATTGTTTCTGTGTCTTTTTTATCCTTTGATAATCAACTGGCCACATAGTTGGAATGGTAGTAACGACGGTAGAACATTTTGACATTGGTTGACGAAGTAAATACCAAGCTGCCTCGTGACTATTTATTTATACAGCGTTTAGCATATTTACGCCTAACTTTATTCTAACTTCTACAATTTCAAATTCATAATGTTCATCCATGACATCAATAATCTGACGTTGTAAGTTACTAATACCATGGTTGGTTTTACTGACATATTCCGCGACGTAATTAGCAGTGATAAACTGGATATCCATAAATTAGATTTTAAAATATTTGTTCTTGATCCGGTACAATTTCTTCATTAGACAATACATGTATAATCGAAGCATCAGCTAGTTGTTGATTATTTTGTATTTGTACATATATTATATTTGAACTGGAGACTCCTTTGCTGGTAACTAGGCATTTCTACCTTAGTCCTCAGGGATGTCAACGCATCTAAAATTAGGTTATTAATATGGGATAGATGAAGATGTCTATGGGTTACAGTATCCACGTACCTCAAGTGGATTGTGTGCTCGTTTGTCACCCTTATTCTATAAAAATAGAAAGTTTTCTTCTTTGGAAATAGCGTATGTATGGTTAGTACGATCCGCGCATGCATTCTCTATTGGAAATGATACACGGTAGTTGCGTAGGTGTAGATGTGAATGTGAGAGCGTGGTTTGTGTGTGTGTTGCAGGATGGGGGAGAGTGGGGCGGTGCAGTTCTGCAGCAGTGCAGCAGAACGCGAGGCCGCACTGCTGCGCCGCAAGCGACATCTGCTGGCGGCCGCGCGCGCGCGCTACCTGCAGCAGCACCAGCAGCGGCGGCAGCAGTACCAGCAGCAGCAGCAGTTCCCGCAGCAGCAGCCGCGCAGCTGAGTGTTCCGCGACATCATGCGGCGCCTCACGCTGCACGCACACTGACACACACACACACACACGTACGCTGTACCAAACACACACGCGTACTTTAACATGTTTTTATTAACTCGCTTTCGTGTGTGTCTGTTCGGGTCGAATTCAGTAATTGATTTAAATTATCTTCCCGATGAGCTAGAGACTTGAAATTTAAAAAACATTGTACATATTATGTGTTATATTTTTTCTGATAATTGAATACGCAATAAAAATTCGGTTCCATTGACTTGCCACGCGAAAATTCAAGTTATTGTTATTTGGTTCCCTCCTAAATAGGATAATAAACGTAATATTTTTTGTCCATAGTATAGAATATGTAAATCATTGTCACTGATACTCACTGATATCATTGTCACTGATACTTACTGATATCGTTGTCAACTTCATTGTGCTAATAGAGTGTAATTATAAATTAGACAGGCGCATTTAACATAGGTTAATGGCATAGAAATTATTTATGTGTTGTTTACTGTAAATTATTACAACAGTCTAAATTTCAACCCTCTTTGATTCTAAACCTAGAATAGATTTAGGTATCTATGGGCCACAGTATCCACGTACCATCAGATGGACTGTGTGAAAACCTCACTGTAAAATATCTCGTCGACTGCCGAATATTTTGCCGCCTGTATATAATTGTATGTTCCTTTAGCCCGACCATAACCTAATTTCATATACGAAAGAAACAGAGAGAAACTAAGTGAGATATAGAAAGTAATGTTTGTAGATTAAGGGTTGTATGTATGTCATTTTAATATGTAAACTGAAAATAAATTGTAAATAAGTTTTCCTCTCCAATGAAACTTTTAGTTACAAGAGTACTTGATGCTTCTTTGTTTCTTTAAAATATAAAATGGCTTTTGAAATATTAGACTACTAATTAGTATCACTTGTAATAAAAACACAAGAGAGTATTTTAAACATTAGCAATGATGTAAGCCATATAACATGGTAACGAAAGCTTGTGTAAAACAATATTAACTGTTGTATAACACTGATGCACTGATATTAGTGTATTTTGTGTAGATTCTCTGGAATGGTCTTAGTATTCAGTCACGATAGCACCAAGCAATTTATTTTTGTATAATAATATCTTTCAAGAGTGTATTTTTCTAAGTAGTGTAATATAAAATTTAAGTGTTGCCCACTGCACACGGTTTTTACCAGCAGCAGCGATTAGGGCTGCCGTCCCAATATTCATAATAAACAAAATTTTAAATTTCACTTTATTTCTCTAAACACTAGATTTTATAAACAATCATTCTTATTTAGATAGGCGAGATAGCTGAATAACTTTTTGATATGAATTTTATATTTCACGTTATAATTTTTGTATGTGGCAGCCCTGAATTTAATGTATATGTCGTCGGCCGATTGTATGATTCATCATTATACTAATGGTGTCGTCTGTGTGCTTGTTTGTGCTGGCTTGTGAAATGTCGAAGGCAATTTGTAAAGTGCCTCGTCATTTTGTATGTCGTAGTCCGACAGTTAGAGTTGGGCAGATCGTAATCACATTGGACATTTCATGATACGTCGCCATTTCATGTTTGGCCGATAATTTATAACTTCGTCTTCTGTTAATATATTATAAATAGGCCGCTTACGTTTATATATTACATATATTTATATAAAGTACAACGCCGGATAAATCAACGCTGCAGCTATATTAGTTGTAGCACGAATGGTTCGGCTCGACCGGAGCAGGACTGCGCTCTCACAGAATACCAGCGTAAAATAGCAGCTTAATGCTGCTGTCCGTCCTACGGTGACTGTAGAGAACCGGAGAACCTTTACCGGAAACGAGGCATTCCGTCTAAGTCCTCAGGGGTGACAACGTATCTGCATTTTGATTCTATATCGAGGATAAATATAGATGTCTTTGGGCCACAGCGACCACTTACCATCAGGTGTCACCCTCGTTTGTTACCCTATTCTATAAAAAAAAAGATGCCCAGGCACATTATGATATGTGAATGAAGATATATTAATTTGTCTTCGCCATTTTACACACCAGCGAACGTTTGCAAACAGAGGACGCCATTTGTTAAGTGACGAATCATACAATCTGTCGACGACGTAATATGCGTAAGTCTTTTTAGGGATTTACATTGATTATAGCATCAGTACTTGTTTCATTGGGTTCATCATAATCAATGAGCTATGTGGGTTGTGTCCGCTATTCAACAATCCCTCCCTACAGAGATTGGTATTAGTTAAGTACTTTAAGGAACTCCTGCTTTGTTCATGTGCACAAGAAAAACATTTATTTTCATTACTCAGTTTTGCTTTATTAGTTATTATTATTGTTCATTTCACTTTTTATAAGCTGCATATCAATTAAATGTGATACAATATTGTTATACCATAAGAACAATGAAAATATGAATGTATTTAGCAGCTTACTTGGCAGTAACAGAGACATAAAAAAGATTGTTATAAAACTGCATCAAATAAATAACCTTTTCAAGTAATTCCAATATTGTTATGACAATACATCCCTTCATATTTTCATTGTTCTTTTTGTTTTTTGTGGTAATGCTGGTCATTGCATACAAATTTCTTACAACAATATTTCTCACACATATTAACAGATGTTTTTAGAAAGCATACCAGTTTATGTGCTCTACTTTTAAAAAAAAAACACGTTTGGAGCATTAACTTTTTCAAATGTATAATATGTAGTTAATCCTAAGTTAATATGTTGTATTAATACAAATAATCTATGCATCCAAAATCCACAAGTTGTAGTACTTACGTTTTGGACAGTTCAAGTAATTAAGCTAATATAATTTTATTTCATACATTCTTCCTTTTTGTTCCACTTAATTTTAATTTTATTAAATTGATTCAAAACTAGTCAAAATAAAAATTTAAACATTTATAGTGTTTTATTGCTTCATCAGCACATAATGTCCTGTTGGCCGACTTTTCACCAACTTTGGAATAATTGAAAGATGTCAACTCTGCATGAGACATTACACTATACAGCGTCACACTGACCGACTGAAACGTCGGTCTAGTGGTCGTAAATGCGGTTGCTGATCATGAGGTCCCGGGTTCAAGTTCCTGATCTGGATAAAATCAATTATTGGGTTTTTCTCTGAAGATAAACCCAATAATTGATTTTAGATTATATTTTCAGTAGCAGCTCAGGGTCAAGAAGTTGGTCTGCCTGATCTTTCTCCGGTCGTGTCGGTTTGCCGTACTATCGGACTATGAGAGTGAGGGAATAGAGTGCACCTGTGCTTGCGCATACTTTCTGGCACTATAATCCTGTCTTGCGTAGATGGCTAGTGTCCACAGAACATATATACACCTAACCCTAGTCTCGGTCGAGATTGGCCGCCGAGACCGAAATTCGGTGTGGAGGACTGCCATAACTGCCACCCTTGCCTCTTACAACACGGAGATAATATGGGGCAGTGGATAATGGATATTCTTATACCACCACGCCATACTCATTTGATAAAGTTAGAGGTAAGCTGAGTAGGAGCTGGTCATCAGCAAAACTAGTTAAACCAACACCTATTGCTGAATGGAACAATATATGGTATAGTAAGACAATCCACGAAGCCATTCCCTGCCGTAGGTGTATAGTGGTTCTAATCTCGATACACCTTGTGGAAACTATGCTCTAGGTTTTTAAGAGTATATTTACCCAGGATAAATTGTCCAACCTATAGTGGGTTGAATTCTTTGATTGTCATCTTGGTTGAAGTTTAACTTACCTATTATTGCAAATAAGTGTCATTTAAAATTTTGATTGAAAACTTAAAAGCATGCAAACAACCCCTTGAGCTTATAAGCCAGTTATTTCAATATTACAGACAGAAAAGAGAGGGAAATACAACTATCAGCTGGCATTGAAACTATCTTCGCATCTGAACATAGGCCTTCCCCAAGGAATGACACAAAGCATGGTCCTGAGCCACCTGCATCCATCGACTTCCTGCATGTCTTACCAGGTCGTCACTCCATCTAGTGGGGGGTCGCCCTACACTTCGCCTACCGGTACGAGGCTACCACTCAAGAACCTTTCTTCCCCATTAGTTGTCGGTTCTTCGAGCTATATGGCCGGCCCACTGCCACTTCAGCTTACTAATCCGTTGGGCTATGTCGGTTACTCTGGTTCTACTGCGGATATACTCATTTCTAAGTTTATCACGCAGAGAAACCCCGAGCATAGCCCTCTCCATAGCTCACTGAGCGACCTTGAACTGCCTCATACGGCCAGCAGTGAAGGACCACGTCTCAGATCCGTAAGTTATCACTGGCAACACGCACTGGTTGTACAATTTCGTTTTAAGGTTTTGAGGTATGTCTGACGAGAAGATGTGTCGTAGTTTCTCGAACGCTGCCCAGCCGAGTTGGATCCGTCGATTGACCTCTCGGTCGAAGTTGGACTTACCTAGTCGGACTATTTGACCCAGGTAAACATACTCGTCAACAACTTCGAGCTTAGTACTCTCAACAACTACCGACATAGGTGTGACATGGACATTAAACATGATCTTTGTTTTGTCCATATTCATCATAAGACCTATTCGTTGGGAGACTCTATTGAGGTCATTGAGCATGGTGCTTAGGTCCTCCAGCGATTCTGCCATAAGGACTATATCGTCGGCAAATCGAAGGTGAGTGATGTACTCGCCATTGATGTTAATACCGTATCCTTTCCAGTCCAGAAGCTTGAAAACGTCTTCCAATGCAGCGGTGAAGAGTTTCGGGGATATAAAAACTATTTATCACCTACTTATATTAGGAGTCTCTTCATACTTACTTTTAATTGTCTTATTGGTTGTTAGACTACTACTGATTATGTGGTCCCAGTTTCGAATCCTCGGGCGCGTCATAAGTTGTTGGGTTTTTAGAAATTCTCAATCGCAGCCTATAGTCGGTAAGTTGGTGGTGTTTCACACCAATGCTCGAGAGAGCATGTAAAGCCATTAGTCCTGTGGTTCATCTCTCTGGTTGTAATAGATTTCTGCCCCATCTGACTAAGAGAGTGCATCTGTGTTCATGCACACATTCATGTGCTATAATCCTCTCCTGTGCAGATAACTAGTTTCCAGTGAAACTGACCGAAATTCAATCTTGAGTATGTTACACTTGAGTCTCCCAGACAAAAATCTAAAGAAACAAATGTGTAACCTTGGCCTCTCAGTACGTTTACGAAAATTATAAGTAAATACTTAGACAAGTTTGTACCAGTTACTCAACTCCAGTCAGTAATATCCTTCACTAGGCAAAGAATATCCATTTGCAACAGTTCTAGAAAATATGCATATAATTATAAATTATATAGTATAATTTTTTTATGTGGTAGAGCCATGTAGCAGCTATATTAATAGTATAGTTGTAGCATGTATGGGTCGGCTCGACCGGGGAAGGACCACACTCACAGAATACCAGCGTAAAATAGCAGCTTAATGCTGCTGTGTTCCATGTGGAGAATGTAGAGAACCAGAGAGCCTTTTTACTGGTAAAGAGGCATTCTATCTTAAACCTCACGGCTGACAATGCATCTGCATTTTAATTCACAAACGAAGATAGATGTAGATGTCTATGGGCCACAGCAACCACTTCCCACCAGGTGGACTGTGTGCTCATTTGTCACCCTTATTCTAAAAAAAAAAATGCAGCACCTATCAAAATGTTTAATATTTGAAGGAGCAAAACTGTACACATAAATAGTAGTAATTATAATATTCAATAATATGCCATCAATGCTGGTTTTAAATGTTGTTTTATATTTGATTGTAAAATATTGTGAATTATTTAAAAAAGCTTGACACCATCGATGGCAGAAACGAATGTGTAGAAAGAACATGGCAGAACCTTAGGGATGGAATGGTAAGTGCAGCGGAAGAAGTGTGTGGAACAATAAAAAGAGGCAGTAGTAAAAGAAGAGATGCATGGTGGAATGATGAAGTGAAAGAAGCTGTAAAGAAGAAGAAGAAAGCATGGTTAGACTACTTGGCCTCTAGTAATGATAAGGATATGAGAGAGAAGATGAAAGAAAGATATAAGCTGCAGAAAGTTCACACGAAAGCATTGATTGAGGAAGTGCGTGAAAGGTGTAGAATGGAAGCGGATGAAAGGTTGTCGCACAACTTTAAGGAGAACTCCAAACTCTTCTGGAAAGAGGTTGGAAGGGCCCGAAGTGGTGCGACGGCCTTAAGAATGAACAAAGTGCTTTCGAGAACTAATGACGTCCTATCAGAAAAATCGGACGTCATGCAGCGATGGAGCGAATTTTATAGAGAAATGTATGCGTGTGATGATCTTAGTGAGGGGTCCGGGGATGACGCCGTGACTGGTACGCCAGACCCGGACCTCGATGACACTGAGGTCATCAGTATGAAAGAGATTGAACGTGCGATTCGAAGTTTGAAATGTGGTAAGGCTGCGGGACTAGACAGAGTTACTGCTGAAATGGTCAAGTATGGTGGGCCTCGCGTCTGGGACAGCTTTCATCTGCTGTGCAATTTGTGCTGGCGGACGGGGGATGTCCCGGATGATTGGCGATCCGCAGTCATTGTGCCTTTATATAAAGGTAAAGGTTCACATTTTGACTGCGGGTGCTATCGGGCGATCAGCTTGACCAGTTTAGCAAGTAAAGTTTACTCGAAGGTTTTGACACGTAGGATGCAAGAGAAATCGGAAAGATTTCTATGGGAGGCACAATGCGGATTTAGACCTGGAAGAGGATGCACGGATCAAATGTTTTCTCTCCGTATGATCACGGAAAAGCTTCTGGCTGTTAACCAGAAGATTTTCTGTGCTTTTGTGGATCTTGAGAAAGCATTTGATAAGGTTGTAAGGAAGAAAATGTGGGAACTGTTGCCGGGGTATGGTGTGGATGGTCGATTGCTAAGGGCTGTGCAGTCTCTTTACTGTGACTGTAAAGCCTGTATGCGGGTAGGGCATGACCTGTCACCCATGTTTAGCGTCCAAACGGGCGTAAAACAGGGTTGTGTCATGTCTTCCTGGCTGTTCATACTGTATCTCGACAGCTGTTTACAAAAGCTGAAAGATAGCTGTTTGGGTGTGAAATTGGGTGACATAAAAGTAAATTGTCTGCTGTATGCTGATGATGCAGTGCTTATTGCACCATCAGAGGCAGAACTGCAGGCATTAGTCACGTGTATGAAAGAGGAATGTGAAATTAAAGGTCTCCGTTTGAATGCTAATAAAACTAAGGTTCTGGTATTTGAAAGGGACGAAGAGAGAACGAAGTGTGAAATATGGGTAAATCAGGAATGTCTAGAACAGGTAAATGAAATTGTATACTTGGGGAGTGCTTTTAGCCGGGATGGAAGATGTGATTTAGATGTGGACAGGCGTGTCGCTGCCGGGAACAAAGTCAATGGTGCCCTGACTGCGTTAGTCAAAAGGCAAGGCGTAGCGAAGAGTGCACGCCTTGCAATACATAACGCAGTGTTGGTACCGACTTTGTTATATGGCAGCGAAACCTGGGTATGCCAGAAGAAGCATAAAAGTAAGTTGAATGCAGTGGAGATGCGATCTCTTCGTAAAATGTGCGGCGTTACCATGGCCGACCGAAAGCGAAACGAAGAGATTCGCAATATGGCAGGTTTGAAAGATGACCTTATCACAAAAATTGATAAGGGCGTGCTTCGGTGGTTTGGGCACGTTGAGCGAATGAGTGAAGACCGAATGGTGAAGAAAATATATAGCGCGAAAGTTAATATTAAAAGGTGTCGAGGTAGACCGAGACTAACTTTCGAAGACCATGTGAGCAAATTGCTCGAAGAGGGTAGGGTCAAGAGTACTCGGATACCTAGACGTGCATGTATGAAGAAGATAATGAATCTGAAAGAAGCGAAAGAGATATGTAAGGATCGTGACACTTGGCGATCTGTTCTCTCTGGCTACCCCGTCAGGGATTGTGCGTGAAGATAAGTAAAGTAAAGTAAAAAGTAATTTATAAAATTCAAAAACTTTTATCCAATTGTACATTTACACAGGCTGACTTAGTTGCAGATAAGCAGGTTGTTGTTGAACTTACTTTTCCCTCATACTTTTATTAAATAAGAGTGACAAACTACTCATGATGGTTTAAACCCAGGATAAAGAATTAAAATGCAAATACATTGTCACCCTTTGGGGTTAAGATGCAATACTTCTTTTCCTACAGTCATATATTGCATTAAACTGAAAGTAGTTCACTTTGAGAATGGAATCACAACTAAACAATGCTGATACTCAAAATTATTATAAGTACTTTTTCAACTTTTCACAGCAAAATAAATGAGAAATGTCTTTATAAAAATATATATACGAACAGAAATTAAATACTATATTAATTTATAAATTTGATACCAAATATAAAAATTGATCTCTCTGGTCGTTTGAATAATACTGTTATAAATATATACATACAAAGCTTTAAGTATGCAATTTCTGTGGGGTAAACAGAATCGAGAACCACGGAGTAGTGTGATGTTCAGCTAAAACATATGAGTTTTTAGATGGAAATTTGTGAAAGAAGTGATAGGCTAACCTATCGCCTACACAATCACAAACCCAAATATCCTATAGTGATAAAACTATAATAAATTAAACAAATTTTCGAGATTTAAACAAACTGTAATATATAGAATTTATATTATGTAAAAAAAATTAACCTATAAAGTTTATGACAACAAGATGCAATACAAGATGGGCAAATATAAAATCGGCGAAGCCACGCTCTGCACTCAGACCCTGGAACTCATTCTTATTTTCCGGATTCACTTGTAGCCGCAAGCAAACTGAAAATAAATTATAACTTTATATTTGGTATATACATATATATTATTACTATGATTGACAGATACTAACCACCAAGAACAAATGAGCTGACTGTAGAAATAAATCCACTAAGGAAAGAATTGAAAGGAAAAGTGCCGACAAGACAACAGTAGACAAATTGTATCACGGCGGTCAAAAACACATACAGTAAATAAGCATCAATAATCTTCAATTTTTTAGGTGTTTTAGTTATGTATTCTTGGTAAAGTTTAGGAACCACAGATGTAAGAGACGACATTGTAATAAATTTCAAATAAAATCAATCCGGCTTCAAGCAATTCTGATTTGATTGACAAAATGACAAGCGACAAATATGACGTTGACGTAGCGTAGGTGACGTGACGTGTAATACTTTTGATAGCTTTTTTTAGTTATAGACTCGTACGGTAATAATTTTGCCAGACAAGTCAAAAAGTATAATTTATATATTTATATTTTTTGTTTAAAAAGCTTCTTCAAAATATACCAAAGCGTCACTGTTCGCGCCAAGTGCTAATGTCAAGAATCGACGCCAGATGGCACTCGGCTCGGCGCGATACAGGAGGTCGTCGGACTTCTGTCTAGGAATAGGACTTGTTTATGTGCTGCGATGTCCAGGAAGGGCATCCAGTTCAACCCTCCGGCTTGCCCACGTTGGGGCTGTAGTTTTGAGGCGTTGGTTAGGGTTGCAAGATCTGATGGGGTGCCTAAGGTGGCCTGGTTTGGTTGTAGATTCGGTCTTGCAACTTGCCGTCGCGACCCTGTCCCGCTGATCGGTTTGCTCGTGGACCTAAATCCGGGATCCTTATGTCCGGAACGGGGGTTTGTTCGCGCCAAGCGCTAATGCCAAGAATCGACGCCAGATGGCACTCCGCTCGGCGCGATACCGGTTTTGACGTCGGTCAAGCGGTGGGTGTTGAGAACGCGCAAGGGCGAAAAAGGGGGTCGTTTGCCAGCTGTGCTTGGAACAGCACGCTGTCATTTTTTTTGTTCGGGGATGCGGAATTGTGCACGCGCGCGTCGAGAAGATATACGGTCTAGGGTTCGAACCGCGCATTCCTTGTTCGAGAGCTTCTCCCGGTTGATCATCAGGAAATCATTATAATCGTGTCATCGCGTTAAGTGTCCTTTTTTGTGTGTATTGGCTTGTTAGTTTACGCGTCAACGAGGCGTATTTTGAATCTTTTCGCGACGTGGTTATTGGTGTCGAATGAAGGAACTTAGTTGTGTTTAACTGAGTAGTATGACTTATTAATAGATCGCTTTAATTCCCTCTTTATAATTAGTGATAAGTGAATCCAGGACATTGAATGTTGAACTTTGAACTAATGTCCGTTACTGTGTCGGGTATCACGTGTTTGATTCTACGACGAATGTGGAATTAGGCGAGTTTTAGTTAGTTAAATGTACAATGAAGCTAATAGGACTGTCCTCGTGACGAACGAAGAAAGTGACTGTGGACGACTCCGCGGAAGATTACCACAATTTGGAACGGTGCTGAAGTCCGAGCTGCTGCCGACGGCAACGGTCTCATAAGGTCTACCACACTCAGTCACACACAGATACACATCACTGACCCTTACTTCCCAGGCACCATACAACCACATGCGACCTAACCGAACCCTGAGGGACCAGTTGCCTTGGATATAGGTAAGTAAGCTCGGTTTAATATTCTCCCTGTTGGATTGCAGTAGGATAGAACGCTCCCCCTGATTGTTTATCGTTATTAGAGACTTTCCACGCGGCCCCTTGCTGAAGCCCGACCTGCATCTTCTTGTAGGTTCCTCCTTCATGGGCCGGGAAGATTCTACTATTAGATAGGCAGCTGTAGGCCGTAACAGTCACATTTAAAGTTCTCGGTAGGTTTTGATATGCATCCGACATTTGGCAGGTGGATTTGCAATCGCAGTTACCTATCTATACCTATCTCCTGTTACATTATGCTATGGAAATAACTAAAGTAATCTAGTCTAGCTGTTTCAACACTAGTTAGACTTCTAATCTTTTTTACGGCATATGCTGCAGAACTAAGTCTGCTTGCTAGTTTTTTATATATGGGGGCTCCATTGAAGCTTCGCGTCTAGTGTGATTCCAAGAAAAATGGTGGTATCTACAAGACTCAGTTTCTCCCCATTTAAAACTACATTAGTATTTAATTATTTGACATTTGGAGTCATAAATTTCATACATTTCGTTTTAGTGCCATTTAAATGCAAATTATTAACATTGAACCAATTTACTAATTTAGATATAGCATTATTTACTTCGTCATATTTTAGCAATTGTCGACTTAATTTGAAAATTAAAGAAGTGTCATCTGCAAATAATACTATATCATGGTTATCTCCTACTATGTAAGGTAAGTCATAAATGTATACAAGAAACAGAAAGCGGCCGAGAATTGAGCCTTGAGGCACGCCCATTTGTACCATCGATCCGGAAGAACTCATACCGTTAATGACAACTTTTTGCGTTCTCTTACTTAAATATGAAATAACTAATTTAAGAGCATCACTTCTTACACCGTAGTGTTGAAGTTTCCTGATTAATGTTTCATGGTGAACACAATCGAAGGCTTTGGATAGGTCACAAAATATACTCAAAGCATCCTGTGAATTCTCCCATGCATTAAATATATATTTAATCAGCTCAACACCGGCATCAGTTGTCGAGCGACCCCTTGTGAAACCAAATTGATTTTTATGAAGTAAATTATTTATATTAAAGAAATTTAACATTTGATCAAGAATAATTTTTTCAGAAATCTTACTAAGTGTTGGTAGTACAGAAATAGGTCTAAAATTGGCGGGGTCTAATGTACTACCAGATTTAAATAAAGGTATTACTTTACTATACTTCATTAAATCAGGAAACACACCAGATTCGATACTAGTATTAAAAATAATAGCTAAATGAGGCGTGATTGTATCTATTATAGACGCAATAACTTTACGGAAATCCCCCACAGATCCGCAGTTTTCTTAACATCAATAGTTTTAAAATATTTTACAATATCTTTTGATGATACTTTATGAAATGCAAAATTCTTTGTACACGCATTTATATTTTGTTTAAGTAATGATTCGGCGACCGCAGGAGAAGAATTCAGTGACTTAGTGGTTAATATCAGAATATCAGTAAAATATTTCTCGAAAATCATTGCAACGTCCTGATCTGATTCGGTTAATTTGTTACTAACATACACATAACATACAACATCATAACACATAACATACAGGCAGTCCAACTATGTGGACGTCACGGACGCGTCGGTGCAGTGATAAGCTGTTACTTATAATTGATTAAATAATATTTTTAACGCAATATTTTAGCTTAAAGTTTATTTATTTGATAGTTAACATAACATTACACATCAGTGAGTGTTTTACAGCAAATTAGTGCAGTTACTAGTTACTAAACCAGTGAATATAAAAACAAGTTGAACGAATACAATTGGTTTGGTTTTTTATTTGCTAGTTACGGTCACCCGCACAACTTACTTATGTGACTTACCTACATACTTTTGCTGCATACACCTCCGTACTGATTACTTTACTGAACTGATTATAATACATCCAGTGCCTTCAGTGGGTGAGTGGAGTATATAAGATATATGAACTGTGCTTCTTAAATATGGTTAAATGTGGAGCTTGTGGTAAATTCCTTTCTACGGCAGAGGCCATTAAATGTGGACAATGTCCGGTATTATATCATCGAGCTTGTGTAGGAGTCTCCGAACGCTCTAAGGTTAATGAACGCTGGCAATGTCCAGAGTGTAAAAGGACTATACCAAAGGGTAACAACTCTTCTACTCCTGTTAGGGCCATGGTTACAGAGAGTGAAAATTTAAAGTCTGCAATCTCCGGAACAAGCACTGCCTCAGAAAATATGGCAACCAGCTCCCCTGAGTCTTTTCACCAGGAATTGATTCCAGAAATTCGGCTTTTCAGAGAGGAACTTTGTAGGGTCAGGGAGGAGTTAAAGGATTTTCGGAGGGATAAGGTTGAACTGCGGGAATGTTTAGTGATGAATAATAAAAGAATGGATGAAATGGAGGGCAGGATTAGCATTCTAGAGCAGAAGACTCAATGCAGCAGGTCTGTCGAAATAAATGAGCTCAAACAAACCGTTTCTCGACTCACGAGTGAGCTTAATGATCGAGAGCAGGAGTTGCTTGCGGCTGACCTTGAGATCACAAATATTCCGGAAGAAAGAACTGAGAACATCACTCATACGATCGTGTTGATAGCTGCCAAGCTCGGAGTATCGCTGGACGAGAGGGACATCGTGTTTACGGATCGTGTGGGTGTAAGGAATCAGGGTGACAGTGCAGATGAAGGTAAGGGGCGGGGACGACGCGTTGTGGTGCGCCTAGCGCGCCGCCAGCTGCGCGACGAGTTGTTACGAAGTGCACGCGTGCGACGCAATGCTACCACCGCTGATCTTGGTCTGCCAGGTCCACCTTGTCGCTTCTATATTAATGAGCGTCTCTCAAGAGCTAATCGTCAGCTATTCTACCGGGTTCGGGAGGCAACAAGGCAACTGCGGTGGAGATATTCATGGACCAGACGTGGTAAAATCTATGCTCGTCAGGAAGATGGGAAGACTGCTCATTGCCTCCGATCTGAGGCAGATCTGATCCGTGTTTTGGGCAACGATGCAGTTAGGCCACCTTCAAGTTAATTTAAGGACGTTGCTATTTTTGAATATTATTTATATTTGTACACGCATGCATATTTTTTATCCTGTATGTAACTCTTGTTTTAAAAGTTATACTTTTTTTAGTATGATTTTTCAGTACGCTACGTTTAAGCTGTGTAACCTTTTGATTTGTTATGTTACTTGTGTTCACTTTAGAATTTATACTTTATATTATTACTATAATAAATTGCTATAATACTTTTTACGTTTAATATTATGTATAAGCTACAAAAGTGTTCGGTTGTAAGATTTGTGAAAAATAACAAATTTAATAGTGGTAAAAATATTCATAGTCATCAAATACTTATACCGCTACAGTTGGTTTACATACATTATAATTCATACTCAATACCAATAATTGTTATAAGTGAAAATTGCACTTCTAAAATTCTATTAAATTATATAATTATGTTAAATATGTTATATTACATTACATACTGTTATCGCCTATTTATATATTATGATTTAAATCTATGGGGAAAACACACTAATATTAAAACAAATTCAGTATTTACAATCCAACCAACTTAATAAAAGTGAAAAACAAATTACTCAAAA